GATTCCGATCCGATCGCTATCATCCGCTCATCGATGAAGCTCCATTCGACTCGGGGCGCGTCTTTCGCATAATTTACATGGTCCCTTACTCCTTGGTTATACCTTTTTTTTTTTTTTACTGTACGAAGGAAAGTTGGGGAAAATCCGTGGAATGGCACGATCATCCACATCTCGACTCTTTCGATCGCTCCCCTTTCCCATCGCTGAAATTTTCATACGAAGCTACGCACGCGAATTCCTCAACTTCCGAGATCTCGATCCTTCTCGTGTTTCCATCCCGAATCGGAAGTCGACGATCTTCCGGATGAAATTTACTCTCACGAGTTCGATTCGGTGTTTCTCCACCTCTGGACTCGGAAGAAGATCGATGACCGATACTAAGACCAGAAGCAATACGCGTGCGTCCTATCACGAGCAGACGATCGAGAAGAATTCTTCCGGTCGGCATAGCACGACACGGACGACTCCCCATTTCTCGGCCGACCCACTCCTGAAATACTCTCAAACTCCGCCTTTGAAAATAACAGAGGTCACTAACCGTTTCGTGCGGACTCTGACCCCGACCGCGTCGGCATACGACGAAATGCCGAATCCCAATTTCCCCGATCACACATATGTAGAATGCTCGAAATGCCTAAGAGCTAAAATGAAGAAAGACAAAATGCCATCTACTTTCCAATCTAATTTCCACAAAAAAATAGTCCTCACATGTCATAAACTACGTGAAATAAAAAAAGGTACAGGTGGGGGGGGGGGGGGGGGGGGNGGGGGGGGGGGAGGGGGGGGGGGGGGGGGGGGGGGGGGGGGGGGGAGATGAAGGAAACCAATTGCCATTCTGCTCATTCAGAGTCGCACATTTTGGGCGATGACCCTCAAATAGGATGTTATGTCACATGTTATGTCACATGCTATGTCATACGTCTCACACACGCTGCATGACCTCGATGAGCGATCGGGGGGGGGGGGGGTTCTTTCCGTCACTGCTCTCGTATTTGCAAACGAGCAATAGGCGATCTCCCTTCTCCTTTGTCACGGACTCCCTTGCGATCGCAAGACGACTGCGACGCCATGCAAGAAAGGAAGCGAGAAAAGAGGTCTCGCCATCGGTGCATCGTGGAATCTCGGTCGGATGCGAATCATCCCGTCTGACGGCCTCGACTTCGCATTCACCCAGCCGTCTGGGTTTTCCGCTTTTTTTTTTCTTGCGAGGTAGCGTTACCATCGGTGTATTCGACGATCGGCGAACCGATGGATTCCACATTTAGGCAGTTGGACGTTTTTATCTTACGCCGTTCCGCGCATTCTTTAGCGTTAGGCTGTCGGCACAATCGTTTTCGACATTTCGTTCTCGACCAGACCACGCCGAGAGGGACGAACGACAGACCTGGGCAGGGGAGCCCTTCCCCTCCCCCTCCCCCTCCCCCCTCTCCCTCCCCCTCTCCCTCCCCCTCCCCCAACAGACCTGCCTGACCGCTGCATGGGCAGGGGACCCCGAGACCCTCCGAACGAGCATGGGCTGCAACGACGCGTTGAACCGATTCGCGTCACTCAGTCCTGCCAGAGCCTCCAACTCCGAGTCCGTCAACGCCCGGTTCTTCCACCCGCATTTTCTCTCTCTCTGGAACGAATCGGGACGGGAGAAATTTGTCATCGCGAGATCTTAATCCACCGTGGAACTCTTTCTATTTGGGGTCGCAGGAAGCGAATCGACGAACCCGAAACGAAACGATTCAAACAAAAAAAACTAAAATTCAAATTCAGTTTGAGTCGAAGAAGCGATCGGACTCCACCTGGTCGAAGAAAGTGCAGAGAGACGACAGATGCGGGAGGAGCAGGATGCAGAAAAGGATCCAGACTTTCCCTTCCATCTTCCACTCGGATCCACCATTAAAAAAAAAAATAGAAATTTTTTTTATTTCCTCGCCCATTTCGCCGATACGGAGATTTTCTCACGGTCTTATCTCCGCTTTCCACAGGGAATTCCCGTCGCCTTTCCTCCGACCCGGCCGACCTCGCCACCAACGCGACACCGCTCCGATTAAAATATTAAATATTAAATTAAATTAAATAAATTAAATAATTAAATTAAATATTAAATTTAATTGCAATTTTCCCCCGAGTCTCCATGCATCGATCGACCGAAGGAGCAAAGGAAACAGCCAACTCGAGAAGTGGAAACGCCTCGCGAAGAGCGACGAAGCCTCGCGGTCGTTCCACAAATTGTGCAAATCGTATGGCTCCATCTTCTACCCGTCGTTTTTAAATCTTTAACGTCTCGTGGCACTCGGGCCGAACCTATCAGAATATATATATTTATCAACTCTGGATCCGGGGAAACAGCTGGAGTTTTCCCGCGGCACGTGACACGTGACGTGACATCCCGTTTTTTTTTTAACCATTTTTTTGCTGGAAAATGTGCGATCTCGGGTACGCGGTGGATCGCTCCGATCGTCGCATTGGTCATCGGGGATAAACATCGGGGATAAACATCAGGGATAAACATCGGAGCTTTATCGCATTCATATATCTCGTCTGGAGAAAAAGGAAACATTCACGGAATCTCTTGCCAAAGTCTTCGAGCGATGTCCTAATTTTGCGTTCGAGTCCCCAAAGTTAGTCTTTCCTGATTCGGCCACTTACGAGATTTCTCGTGAGGAATTCGTCCAGATCCCCCGGGACCTCCGCGAGTCCACCGCGAGCCCACCGCGAGCCCGTTGCAGACTTCTAGTTCGTCGTCTGCTCTCGGCGCTGGAATTTCCCGCGGATCAACGATGAACTCTCCGACTTCCAGCATTCTAATCGAGTTCTCTCAACTCATTTCAGATTTTTGGGTGAATTTGTGGTGCAGCTATTTTTTTTTTTAGGTTCAATCAGAAGATCTCGGTTGCGAAAGAGATGGATCGGTCGCTGGGCTTTTTCCCCTTCACGATTCCCCGATACGGGAAATTTTTTCAATAACAATTGATATAGTAGATTTTAAATAATCCACTGTATCAATTGTACCAATCGATATAGAAGATTATTTAAAACTTCCCCCCCCCCCCTTTCCACGAATAATAATTGGTTGCACTTTTGGGAATCGTGGCGAGTCCAAGGACCTTAATGCCCAGGTAAACCGCATCCTTGCTTTTGATTAAAAAAAATTCCTTGAAATTCGTAAATTTGAAAGATTTAAAGATTTAATGAGATCTACCGTTTCATTGTGATCGTGGATCATCGGTTCCAGAACAACTGCGTCGAAGAAATGCGTCTATTTCGAGCTATGGGAATCCCATGCTGAGAGAGAGAGAGAGAGAGAGAGAGAGATAAGACCGTGAGAAATTCACCATATCGAGAATCGAGAATCCAGAGGCGAAAAAAAAAAACCAAACAGGATTTATTTTCTTGGAACCCGAGTGAAAATGGAAAGGGAAGTTTCTGCCCTCCTTTTCTGCCTCCTGCTCCTCCCGCCTCTCTCCTCCCTCTGCGGCCTCTCGCAACAGGTGAAGTCGAATCGGTCGTGACGGAACTGGGAAATTCGAGGGGGAACGGTCGGGTCCGAGTCTCGATATCGGCTCGATATCGGGTCGATATCGGTTGGGTGTTGGGGGTGGAGACGCGGGGTCGAGGTCGACGCGGAGGAGATGGGAAGGGGACATTCGGTTTGTGCTGTGTGTCGCGTCTGTCAATGTTACAGCGATGTTGCGTGGTTCTATCAGCGTTACGTAAATATTGCATCATCATCTCAGTATTAAATAAATATTATATCATCTTGTCTTCAATAAGCTGAAGTCGTCCTGGGTCGAATCAGCATCGACTCGATGCTGGAAATGAGACGGATTTTATTGCGAGGCGAATCGAATATCGAATGGAGTACCGAACGTGGAATTCGTGTTCGGTCGAACACTCGACGACCTATCGATGTGACATCGACAAGATGTCGGATGTGACATCTCACTGTTATAACGAGCAAAAAAGGGGTTCGAAATGAGATGACGGCTCTGCCGAGTCGCCGACACGGGGAAAGACGTTGGATTTCCCGAACGCGACCCAGCTCGATCGGACTCGGAAATTCTGTTTTTGGGGATTCCGAACTTCCGGGTTCCACGGGGTTCTGTCCTGTTCCGACATCGATTTCGTGGTGATGCAACCTTGAGTGATTTCAGCATTCTTGGGTGTTGGACTCTCAGCTGGAACGAACCTCGAAGTCGACGTCCCAGAAATAATGGCAGCTTGGCATTAAACCGATGTTGATGCAGCGAAGCGGCATTAAAAAATATATAATTCAACATAACCGATGTTGAAAATTCCATACTTTTTTTTTCAAACATCGAGTCAATGTTTTTGCGAGAATGGGCCCGGTTGCAGTTCTAAGGCTTTCACGGACTGTACAGTAGGAATGATTCATGTCCCTATCCCATGAGATTTCCCCTCAAAGATTCATTCCTGCAAGCATCTGCGAACTTTTTTTAAATTTTCGTTCGTATTATTTCCGGTTTTCATTTATCGATTTTCCTCGTACGACCAAAGAGGATTCGGTTCGGTAGTCCGACCACCAAAGCGTCTGCAAAAGAGTTCAACGCTGCGCACGAACAATAACCGTCGAATGTGGTTTCTTTTCCGATATCGCTCAGAGGGAGAGAATTCGCGATGCGAAGGAACGAGAGCTGACGGATGCGGAGTTGGAGGCGATCGTGGATCTCAACGACATCGACCGGTTCGACGAATACCTGCAGCCCATGCTCGTCCGCAGGGTCTCGGGGTCAGCTGCCCATGCCGCCGTCAGACAGGTCTCTCGTTCATCTCATTAGGTGGCGTAGTTAAGGACTCATATTGTGAGGGGGGAGAGGGGAGGGGGGAGGGAAAGCCAAATGGAAGATTTCTCAATGTGATTTTCTTCTCAGATGAATAAGTATTGGAAACCCTAAGCAATCCGAACGTCCATGAATCTAGACACGGGGTTTAAGGAGATTATGCTTGGAGAAATGGCTCATATATTATAAATACGCGCCCCGAGTCGAATGGAGCTTCATCGATGAGCGGATGATAGCGATCGGATCGGAATCTCTCGCCAGCACATCATCGACTCGCTGGAAAGTCTGGGGTGGACGGTGGAGACGGACGACTTCGTGGACGCGATCCCCGAAGTGGACGACGAGATGCAGGGAACTCTCAACTTTTCGAACGTGATCGGGACGTGGAATCGGGACGGAGGGAGGAACCTCGTCCTGGGATGCCATTACGAGTCCAAGTACTTCTCGGCCACGAGTGGGTTCATGGGGGCGACGGACTCTGCCGTCTCCTGTGCCATCCTCATCGACATCGCTGCCTCTCTCACTCCGTTTCTTCAGGAGCAACAGGTGAAAAAGGGATATTCGAGCGTATCTCGGAAAAGAAACATTTTCGGGGTTCGGAAGGATCGTTCTGGAACCGGATATGGTGCTCGGTCAGATTCGGTTCGCGTCTTCTTACGCGATAAGCCATTTTCAGTTAAAGCTAGGAGTATCTCGAACGTGAAACTTTGCAAAAAGAGACTTATATTTGATAACTTAAAAAAATGATTCAAAGTCTGGAATATTGAAGGACGAGAAAAAAAGTCGGCTCGTCACACGATTTCTTAGACCTTCACGACGTTGGGTACAAACCCTCTATCGGCTCTTCCAAGGCTACGACTGTACAGAGAAGTTTTATTCATTCCACCAATTTTGCTTGAAAGGGAAACGAGTTCACTCCAATAATTTTATAGCGGATAATAATTTTGAAGCCGATCCCTGTGAAGTAATTCAATAGGGTTAGCCCAGATCGACGTCTGCATGATGGATTCCATCGCGTCGATAAACATGTAAAAAATGCATACCGTACTGAGTATGCTCACCGGCACGATGCAACGCTTTAATCGATCTGGACCGAACCGTTCTCCGTAGGACTCGATGTCCGGTCATCCGATATCGAATTCACCCCAGGGATATATAATATATTCACGAGGTAGATCGAGACGGGCCTTCAGTTGATGTTTTTCGACGGGGAAGAGGCATTCTTGAGGTGGAGCAGCGAGGACTCTCTCTACGGATCCCGTCACCTGGCCCAGTTGTGGCAGGACACGCCACACCCTCTCAACGACTCTTGCACCATGCTCGATTCCATCGTACGTCGTCGGCATTTTCATGCCATTCCCCCTCATTTAGTATTCCGAGGCGAGAAGAAGCTGGATGAGGCCGGTCCTCGGCGAGGATCACTTCAGCGGTAAAATGAGAACGGGGCAGAGAGAATCTCGAAACGGGAGAAAAGTAAATCGTGTGAGATATCGTAAAATGTGACATTCCACGAATTCCACTTCCAACCCCTGTCTACGCTGTCGCATGCATCCTTTCCCCCGCTCGTCGATATCGGCTGTGCCGAGTGGAAATTGTGAGCTCTGGTCAGCGACACGATGATGAGCGTGGGCGTTTTATCCACATTCTGCAGGTCTTGCGATCGTTGAACTGATGATGAGAAATAGGAAGAAATCTCGTCTGTTATTTTTTTTTTCGTTTTAATGCTCACAGGGATCCAACGGGGGATTTTCGTCCCGCAGGAATTGCTGGTGGTGTTGGATCTGTTCGGCACTGAATTGGGCTGCTCTGGGTGCACGAGAGTCTTGAACTTCTTCGAAATCACGAGCGAGACGTACCAGGAGATATCGACGGTGGAATCCCGTCTCGAATTTTTGGGTCTGTTGGAGCCTCATCAGAACGACAGGACTTACTTCCATCCCGATCCCATGTTCGCCGAGGGATTCCTGGAGGATGACCACATTCCCTTCTGGGAAAGAGGTATTGTCATTTCCCCTCGGAGTCTTACTTCCACACTCGAAGACAAAGATTCCAATGGCCTTCCGTGGTCGAAGGCGCGGGGAAAATTACAGAAGTTAGGGGTTAGGGAAGAAGATAGTAGGGCAGGGTGGGGGGGACGAGGGCGTCAAGACAAATTTCTGAATCATCCTGTAGGTGTCGAGTTTACGACTTCTTTGAGGCATATAATTTCCCAAAAAAGTCGGGGGAAGCTTAGCGGGCGCCACAGATACACTCGAGCAATCGCATGCGAAGCCTCGTCTCATTAGGACCGCTAAAAATGGGTGTGAGGAAATGATGAGACGTGAAACTCCACGAATGGGTTTTCATACCATGGTGTGGAAAAAGAGCAGATCTCTCACACTTTGATGCTAGCCAGGCCCTTCCATTGTGTTCGAAATCTGTTATTTTCACGAGCATTTCGCAAGAAAGGATTTTTGGTGGCGCAGGTGTGAAGGTGATCCACGGGATGCCGTTTCCGTATCCGCCGGTGTGGCACAAGGAAACGGACAACGCCGACGCGATCCACTGGGTGACGGTGGAGAACCTGCTCCGCATTCTGCGTGGTTTCACCGCGCAGTATCTCGGGATCCAGCCTCTTTCGTCTCCCGAGAGTTCTCCACCACTTTTCAAGTGAAGGCTTGTTCGTGTCAAATACTTGAAGATGTGAATATCAGTCGTTGGATTGCTCTCGCGTGTTTCTCTTGCCGATCCTGTGCTCTTAGAAGCAGCAGCTGACGTGATACAGCTGCATTTTGGAGGGCTGGAGAATTTGAAATTTTCATGACACATTTTCATGACATGACATCACGCGTAGTCAACAGGTTAAAAACAGGACGTTGCAGTCCCTTTTTCCATCCACCCTCTTCTCCACCTGGGCACAACTTCACCCATGCACTCATAGTTTGAATAGCTATGCCATAGTCCTTCGTATGATAATCCTCTCCTCGCATAAAAATCGATTTCTATCTTGGTGCAAATAACAAATTTCATCTTGAAAAAATTCGAATATACAATGTATCACTCATTGTGTTGCATCAATAATGAAAACGTACTGAACAAAAAAGAAACACAATGAAGATCAGGTAGATAAATAACCCATTTGTTGGAAAAACCACATGAAGACAACCAAAATAAACTTGCTACATTTTTCCACCATTAACCATGATAATACTGAAACATAGTTCTATTGCTCACTACTATCACCAGAATAAAAGAAATATGCAATTCTATTGGTAATATCCTCACAGTCATAAAATAAAATAATGACCAGGAGCTCTCACAGAGTTCTACAGATCCTGAATACTGCATCAATCACATAACAGTTCTTGCATGACTTCCGTCAATTCAATTTCTACCTGCAACAATAAACTTAAAAGGAATAATAATGTCAAGAGCAGGAGCCAGTTGCACTGCCTCTGTCTTTATTTGGGAGCCTGTCTTTAATTTTAGCTAGTTGCACTGACCCCAACTAAGAGGCAGTGCAACTGAGGCCAAAGTCAGACTTTCCCAAGGTAGGCTATTTGTGAAGTCATACTCTTGCAAATCTGACTGAAGGGAAAGCAGTGCAACTGCCCTCTGGTTCTTGCATGGAAGCCCTCCAGCACTCCCAGTCTTTTAGGACAAATTTTCACTTTCATTTACAACCTTGCAAAATTACTCTTGGTAATATCTGATAGTTTCATTAGCAAAACACAATGTGCAGATAAGCAAAAGAGCTTGCAGGAATTTTCAAACATCAGGCAACCATTCAGAAACAATCACCCTGAAGCCTAAAACAATGCTTCGTTGCTTATGAAGATATCAAACTTTTGCTACCAATCCAGCAATTGCTCAAAACATGTTCAATGTGAAGAGACTCTCAGTACGACATCAAAATGAGATATTGGCAGCAGTGGAGATGATCCGAAGAGGAGATTCGTCTATGCTTTGGATGACCAAGTCAGTACCAGCAGGAAGGAAGAATGCTTTCCCAGGTCCCAAGGATTTCTGTGAATCTGTGCATCCCTTGCCTTCAATGACAAGGAGGATGCTTCCACTTGGGATGCCCTTCATGCAGAATGGAGATTCACATACCTACATAACGACAATGCAACAGTAAGGTTAAAAGCCATTTGAGGAGATACTTTTCATGAATATGATTTTCAGGATGTGAAAGATATTACTTGTAGCTAAGGTGAATTGATATGTAAGGTAGTTTACAGATGAGTTACAGAAATCATTAGCCCTTACAAGACAGGAATACTTAGCAAGCATAGAAAAAAAGGAAACATACACTGAATATTTGAAATTTTGTAGTAGAGGAAGAGTATAGAGAATTTTTTACTCCAACTGGGACTGCAGCACAGCTCTAGGTTATGTTTCTACTCTTACATAATACACTAAAAATGTCATAGTGGTTTCAAGACATTTTAGAGGTAGGTGAAGCTATGAGCTATGATATTTTCTTGCTTTGACATCTTCCAGTCAGCTGGTACTGAACACATCATGGTTGTCTGATCACTGGCTTCAGGAAGATAAAAAAAAAAAGGTAGATTCACATTGCAAGCACTACCAGGACTAACCACAAAAGAGCGAACACAGAAGTCTTGAACAGGAGGCGAATAGAGAAGCCCCTCAGTGGAAGGATCATGGGATGGGATGAACCTGCACCCATCAACAGAGGAGAAGGTATAATCAAGCATGGAAAGAAGGGTGTCCACATCCTTGAACTTGGGTGTGAGTCCTGCTCTCACAACATTGTCTGAGCATGCCATGCATTCCACACAATCTAAAAGTCATGACAGATCCATACATTAATTTTTATAATCTCAAGTTCCCTCTCTACAACTGCACACCATATGTATGAATTTGATCTTGGAAATGCACAGTCACCTCTGGAAGTTGAACACAACTTCTTATTTTTGGCATTGCTATCTACAGGTGTGTATAGGGAACCATGCATACCATAGTCCCTTCTGGTCTTCTTCACACTACAACTTCAGTTCTTAATGGGCCAGAGCATTTGGTGTAAAATATCAAGTGCCACTCAAGTTTGGAATCAGCATGGCAACAGCTACACCTTATGTTTTACTAGCAGCATGAAACTCAGGAATTCTAACTTCATGATAACAGTTTCTGTTCAATGCATGTCAAATTAGTCACAAACAGGTAACCAACGTAAGGAATGTTGCCCCAACATTGTTGGCTGATTACTGTCAGTCTCTCATTTTATGCCTATCTTCACTTGAGATGCCAGCATGTGAGTGTAGAAGAGAGGAAAGAAACAGACCTCCCTTCAGGTAGGCATGGGGTACATTAGCACCAAGGAAGAGTGCCTCTCCAGGCTGAAGTAGGATGTGGTTGAGGAAATAAGAACTCAGAATCCCAATATCCCCTGGGAATTCCAGACTCAGTTCTTTAAACAGATCTCCTCTCAACTGGATTCTTTCCTCTGGGCCTAAGGGAAACCCAAAAAGTGACCATTCAAGAAAGTCAATTGGGATAAAAATGACAGCTAATGGTGAATGTCGTATAAATAATCTTGTAGGCCTGTTGTGGAATATAATAACTCTTCAAGATGAATTCACACACAGTTTAGTATATGCACATGAAAATGAGGGAAACTAACACATAACATGCAAATTAAATCTCTCATCTAAATCAAGCTGTCCCTGCTAACAACATCGGAAATGCAGCCAGCATGAGCTATAAATGATTAAGAAGGCAATTTGACTAACTCTCCAAGACCATGAAATGGACTGGTAAAATATTGACTAGGCTCCCACATGATGACAGCTCATATGAGGTTTACATTTTATCCCAAAAGAATACTCAATGAGAAAAATATTTCTTCTTTCTCTTGTACAAAAGATGCATTCTTTATGTCTTCATCCCCAAAAAGAAATGTAAGAACCCCAATTAAAGCAAGCTCACAGTTTTTTCACCAATTTGATGTACTAGTATGACAAAAAACAAAAGACTAGTAAATCTTCCCCTGAGAGAGATGAAAGAGCACCAAGTATGGAATGGTGGTAGAGTGAAAATAAATTTCACACATGAATCATCATCATTCAGAAAAGCAAACTATGGAGGTAGGGAGAAACAAAATATAAAAAGACCTTTTCTTGCAAGTAATCTTGGCAATAATCTCAGAGATGCAAGAGCAAATTAACAGTTTCTCTTCTCAGCCAGTTCATATTTCTTCCCCTTGCCACACTAGGAAAATTGCATGCAGCAAAGAAGTCCTGGCAAATTTCAGTTATCCATTGTTAGCTGTGTTAATTGCAGAAAAAGTACTTTTCCACTTGCTTTTGGGCTCAATGTAATGGAAAACCATATGGGAACAGCCAACTATGACTACAGATAAATAATACAGGATAATTGATAAAAGGAACAAACTTGCTGCCTGAATCCTTTCTTGAATTGCAGTGAGGATGCTTGAGATTACATTTTCTTCTTGTGTCATAAGAGTGCGGAATACTCTCTCTAAAGATGCCTCATTCTCCACTTCCCCTATAACACTTCCCAGCTCTGGTAGCCCTGTTTCAATTGCAGAAAATAAGAAGATGCTGGATATTCTCAAATGTACATCATGAGGATGATCAAAGAGCCAATCACATTAATTAGTAGCTGAAACTTATCCCCAATGATCACAGGAAGTCCAATATGATATGAGAGAAATACAAAGGTAAAATTCAAACAAGTTGTGTGTACTGCAAAAAAAAAAGCTTTGTTCAAAATTGTAGCCCCTGCCTATGCATTCTGCTAAGTCAGAGGTTCCAATTCATTGGACAATTTAAAGTTCAATGCCAGTAGAAGAAAGTTTGGGAACAAATGCATTAAGCAACAGAATGTATTTTACCAGTTATTGATACTTTTATTTAATTTGACCTCATCTTTGCACCAAGAATCTCCTCCCTTCCATTTCATTTCCCTAGAGAAAAAATAGCAATTTTTTTCCCACAAGTGTTTCCTTTTGTTTTTTGCACCTTTAAGGGAAGAAATGTCAATTTTTAAACTCCACCCTAGTCTTTTGAATAACATTTAGGGGAGGGGGGGGAGGAATAAAAGTACCAGTTAACACTGATGACAGGAACCTTCAAACTAGATTATTGTTGTACTGACAAAATTCAATACCTTCAAATTTCCAAAACTTTTCAGTAGCAGGTAGTTCTTGTTATGCTACAAGACAGGAATTGCCACAGAACCTCCAGTCCCCCTGATTATTTTACACAGCATCATCTCCAGTTGAAATGAGAGCTAACTCAAAAGGGATGAAGCATATTACTCAAATGTTACAGCACCTCTGTATATATATTTCCTGAGTTAAGCTGTTTGGCTGGAGAAGCCATTGGAAAAAGGCAAAACCTCCTAATACCATTTGTTCTCAAGTTCCTAGATGCAATAAGGAAACGGCTTCAAGGTCAAACCAAATGCACACATTTGAGGGAAAAACAAAGGAAAAAAAAAGCTTTGATTCAAAGCTACTAAGCATGTGATCTTTCTGAATAATAAAAAATACTGGGTGACCCTCTCAACCCAATAGTGCATGAATACAGTCAAGGAGAGCTTGATGAAAACCATTGCAAACTATTTTTACTGACCATTCTCTCTATAGTTTCATCTTCCTGCACATTACTGAAATTATTAAACAAGGTATTTTGATTGCTCATTATTGCATAAAATTACCCCATCAACTACTTGAGGAGAATGTGCAGTTCGAACAACATGTGCATGTTCTTCTGTATTAAAACTTAAACAGAGAGTGATACCATATTTTCCTAAGGACCCACTCAATGAAACTTCACAAATGAGGAATCAGCCAAGTTCATCTAGCCATCTTGTACCACCTCAATATCTTTCATGGGTCTTGTAACATCAGAACCTCTCATGGGAGCTCTACACATTCTATTCTGGCAGGATTAAGCATTTTAATTCTCTCCATTGAGTCCCAGTTAGAAAGGGGCACTTTATGGGATGTCCAGCAGGACCAATATTCCCAAGGGAAACAAATATTTCCTGTAAGAGAATACAGTGGGAAAATAGATCAGCCCACAGGATCACAGGATGAAGTGAATAATGATAATGAAGGAGGAATTGAACAAAACGACAAAACTCTGCTATTTTCCAATACCAACACACCCTTGGCACAGATTCACTGCCAAAATGACCCCTTATGACCAAAATGACCCTTAAGATTGCACGTATGGAGGATGACTTCTGAATTCACCTTGATCACAAACAAGAAAAAGGCATGAAGGTGGGAGAGGGATAAGGAGGCTTGAGACAAGATAGGAATACTTCCTGCATCTCTCTCTGGTCCCAATGTGAAGAAATGCGAAGATGATGCTCACTTTGGAGGCAATCCTGTATCTCAGACAGGGGTCGGAAGCCACAGAGAGCTGAAAATGGGGTGAGGGCGACCGCCATCTCTGGTTTGTGGTTTGGGTCCTTGTACAGGTCGGGACGACTTGCATGCAGCTTCTCTGCTGCTGCCTATATAAGGAAAATCTCTGCTAGTCTCAGTGATTGCCAAGATTGGAACTCTACATCTGACTATTAGCATGCTGAATTTCCAAAGCCTGACTCATGCAGCAATGGGGTCATGTTAAAACTCTATAGATGTAAAATCATCAATGATGACCAACATAGTACAATGCCAGTCACACCTTCTCCATGTTAGGAAAATTGGCTTGAAACGCATTTTAAATGAGACAAGAACCTTCAAATTCATACCTATAAACCAAGAATCCATCAGACCTATCATGAATGCCAACTCAAGACTGTGTTACAATTATGACATCTTACCTTATCAGGATGGACTTGAATGCTGAGAGCTTTATTGACTGACAAAACTTTTAAGAGAAATGGAAGGTCCTTCTCCCCAAATGTCTTCTCCACCTGCTCTCCCAAGACTTGAGGATGTTTCTCTATGTATTCTGATAACAACTGCTCTGTCTTGGCCAACCTGGAAGGTCCATTTGGATGACAGCCCATCCATAGCTCTGCATATGGAGTTTCTTCATCTACCTGTAAGTAATATTTATCAGTGATCAATGATACAACCAGATAAAGGTTAAAATAAATAAAAAATTCTAGTCATGCATAACAAACTATCTGACCCTCTAATTTCTCCAATTGTAACTCATAAAAATGTTGAGCACTTAGGGGGAATCACCATCTTGAATTCTCAGTTGCAATTAATTTATGAACATGAGGTGATTTCATTCTTCCTTTTGTTTGAATGGCAGGCAAAGCTTGATATTCTGGCCCACAGGATGCATATCAGCCCAGCACTTTTTGCAATTCCCTCTCTTGCAAGAGATCCCAACCAAAAGAGAGCACAACTTTTGGAAATGTGGATCACATCCAATGGGCAGCAATGATACATGTGGGGCTCTCATCATTGCTAGCCCTGTTGCCACTTGCTAGAGTGACTTATTTGAATGATGTTCACCATACTTTAAACATCTAAACTTCACATTTGGGATGACATTAAAAGGCATGTATAGGCTTTCAAGCCTGATGAGACATTCATTTTGTGGCAAATTAATATAATAATTTAAAAAAACTTAGGAAGCTGACCCTAGCAGATTTTTAAGTGAGCCAGAAGGGCATCATCAACCATATTGGTGTTTTAGTAACCCTGGTCACTTTTGCAGGTGTTATGCTCTTAAGCAATCACTCTGAAAAGTGTGGATTTGTATATAATGGGTCATTCTTGCTTTCTTTGTTCCTTTTTTTGTTGCATTTTTCTCTCCTTTTTGCATTGTCACACATGCACAGGTCTACATTTCTTTTTTTTTTCCTCTCCTGTTGTATCAAGAATTGAATGGCATCATAAAATAAAAAGCAAATATCTCTATAAATGGGAGTTGTCTCATAATAGGTAAAAATAACTTTCATCTTTGTTCCTTTAGCAACCAAGTCTTGCTGGCTTAATTAGTTCGTTTCTCAAAAACTTTTGAAAAATGAATCTGTGAAAATACACCCCCACCATACAGGTGTTAGAGGAGGGAAAGAGAGAGATCAGAGGTTGTGGAACTTCGTTTAGGGAAGTTATCACTGCTTCCATCTCTCCTGCGTTCGCTCCAACTTGGACGTAACGCATGAGACATCTATCGGACCTCCCAGTCAACACCCACTTTCTCAATAGGAGGGAAAGTAGTTCCATGCCTATCGACTGTCCGCACTCACGTGAACGACGTGCTTCCCAGACGCAGCCAAACGAGCCACTGCACTTGAAGAACCTATCATACCCCATGCGTACGTCTGCACGGCACATTTCAGCTCCATGATAGGCTGTCTGATCGCCGAGTGTTTCTTTGTGAACCTTCCTTTCGTCGGCTGGAGTGAGAAGAGAGTTGTCTGCCCTAGTCCACGTGGTCACTATCTGCACCAGAACGCCCTATTGGGACCATTTTTTCATGGCGGCTCCCTTCTACTACGGGCATGCGAATAGGCAGAAGCGACGAGCAGCCAAGAAAGCCCGAAACGTCAATAAGGGAAGTAAAATGAAAAGCGTTGAGGAGAAACTCTCCTTGTCTTCCGAAGGCAGCGAAGACTTGCAATTTAGCGCCTCTGCCTTGACATGGGTTGGGAAAACTGTAAGTTGATGATTTCATCACCTGCGTGTCCTAACGTTTACAGGAGGGCAACCTGCGCTTGAGGTAACGTCTTTGGAAGAGGGGAAGGAAATTCAGGGGAAGTAAGCTTAGCATAAGTGCATGACTTAAGTGCTTTTTTATGTTTCATATCAGCATTATTCCATTTCCAGAAGTTAGGAACCCAGTCCAAAAAAGACTCAACTGAGGCCCGATGCCATTAGGCCTAGGAAGAAGCTGACGTTGACCAGCTGGTAGGACTTAGCAAAGGGACCCACTTAACCTTATTCTCACATTCAGCGTTGGAAACATGTAGATTTGCAGTTATTTAAATCCACAAATGTTTTAACTGCATATGTTCTACTTGGTATTGAAAGCTGTGCCTTCATGCACGAAATAAAAGTTTTTTTTACTGCATCTTGTTAGGAAAAGACTTGCACACCAGACACAAAATAAGAATGACCTTGATCTAATAAGGATGAGGATCAAGTATTGCCAATGACAGATTTCTTTCATGACCATGAAGACATTCAAGCTTCTCATTTCCTAAACATCTTTCACCAACTATGTAAGCTCATCTCCCCCAATAGCCAATATTCAGCAAGATCAAGCTAAGGGAAGTTCTAAGAAACTCAAAACAATGTATCTTGCACTTTGTCTGGTGTCTATTCCCTGACCTTCATTTTCTTGCTCAGATAGCAGTCTTTAAATTATTGGGGTTTGTATTCTTTTGTGAAAGTATCCTTTCATATACTGTACACCATTGCACTTAATTATTACTTTTTCATTCTCATATCCCCCTTCTCCTTCTCCCATTGCCTCACTCCTCTCTCATCGTAACCCAGAGCTCACTCATTGGCCCTGTGTATATTCATAGGCTTTACTTTAGTTGGTTCTGATCCCTGTGAACTACTCTCATCGTCCTATGTTTACCCATCCTCTGTGTCTCTGGATCTAACTGAAACCAAAATAAATCAACACACTTGTATGAATGATTTTATTTTGTCTGTTTAAGGGCTAACAACTAACTTGAGGATCAAAAGTGTGATTCTCTGCACTAACTGAGGTGGAGGGAGGGATGAATATTATTAATAGAATCTTTTGCCTCTTAATAAGGGATGTGCTGGCTATACCACTCCTAAGACTGGCCTCTCTAAGGCCCTGAAATTGCATGCAAGCTTATTTTCACAGTTGAAATAATACATCTGCAAGAACATTTTTTTTTTTTAATTTGACAGGATTCCTACCTGGAACAGTGCCTGACAAGATTGTCTCAGGTTGCTTTTCTGCACACATTGATTTTTATCATGTTTTGTGTAAATTGACTTGTATTGTCAAATGGCAAAGGATCTGGGTGTCAGCTTGAATATTGAATGTTACTTGCTATATTTTGAACTCTTCAGTTTATCAGAGAAGCATTGATGGGTCCCAGTTGTGATTGGGTCAGCAACTCTTGCTGTACAGTTTACACAAATGTATTCATTCTTCATTGAAGGATGTTCTTATATAAATATTTTTAAATGTGAAAGGATGAATTCCTTGTTTGTACTATGAGTTTATCTTGATACCAATCCATGCTCTCAATGCAATTAAGTTGATTCACTGCTGAGCTCACTGTGTAATTGAGGGTCAAAGGCATCCTTCAGTATTTGTCCTTAAAACTGCCAATTGAAGCTCACTGCTTTCCTCAAAGATTTCTTTGTTTCATAATAAGGCAGGTCATAGGGTTGCAAGGTAAGCATTTATTCACCTCAGTACATAATGTATAGAGAAATAACTGGTTTAAACGAATAGAGCCTTATTAGAGTTTATGAATGGTGAAAGCTCCAAACTGAACTCCAAATGAGTAGGACTTGGCTTTTAGTCATAGCTTTATGAAATTTTCATGCAGATTTCAGATATAGAGTAATGAAAGGAGGTCAAATATACCCATTCTGAAGTACTCGATTGGAGAAATGTGTAGAACAACAAGTGTTGCTACCATGTGTATGGTGACAGGCGCCAGAGCAGGTCTTGAGAGGGCATCGGCATTCTTTATCTCCTATCTATGTCTCCTAACCCAGAAGTATGGGATGGCAGTGGTGCAGGCCGGAAGAGGGACTACTCAAGGGGCACACCCCCCTCCCCCACCTCCCATCATTTAACTTCCTAAATAGTGTCCCCCCCCCCCCCCCCTCTTCCTGAAATCCTGCGTGTGCCGCCGGCGGCAGGTGTCAATATATTGGGAAATTGAGGTTTTAAGGGTTTTTTTGTTACTTCGTTGGAGGGTTGATTTATGGATTTGATCGTCCTTGAGGGGCATGAAGAGGAACGACGACACCCAAGGGAGGCGGGTGAAAAGGAAGGAGTGAAGACGGTAGACACGGGGAGGAAAGATGATAACCTCCGGAGTTCATTAGAAGTAATAGGATATCGCGTTCAATCTCTCATCCGGGTTTCCATTTGGGACCCCAATGTCCCAAATGCAACCTTCGGTTGCTTCAGTTTTCTCCCATCGTTTTGATAACTGTCTGATCCCATCACCTTTGGCAAATTACTTTACTTTAGGCTCTGCTTCACGGCCTCGCTGATCTGACCAGAGTGAAAACGTTCGCCGTTTAGTGGCTCTTTTCAGGCGACTGAACGAAAAAAAAGAATCAGCCGAAAATGGATCAGATGATTAGGATTGACATTTAGGAATTCTCCAACTCCAGGAGAGCAACTTTTGAACCACGTCACGTTTGTATAGTGGCCTGGCATTTTCATGCAACAAAATCGAGCTTCCTCGATGCAACATACAAGAATCGTGTTTCAAGAAGGTTCAAGAATTAAGGAAAACAGTGCGGAAATTTTCATGGGTTTGAGCTGCTCCTTTGCTGAGCAGGAATTGAAATGTTACCATTTTTATATTCCAAATAAAACTATGAAGACTGCATGCGTGTCCGTATTCCAAACGAGTGAATCAATTTAGGCAATCGCAGCTTCTCCCCCACAGAAAAGGCTCCTTATTAATATATGCTTAAGGTCGTGTTGTTATATCAATTTCAGCTTCTGAGTAATATCCATGCTAAAATAATAAGCACTATTTATTGGAAAACCTATTGATAAACTTATTGATAAGTGGTAAGTTATGCAGAGGAGAAAGAATTAAAGGTGTTTCAAAAGCACGTGGTGGAAAAGGAAATAATAATAAAAATCCGTCTCCCTTACAGTCTCATCAGGCTTCAGTCGTCTCATCTGCGGTTTCCCCTCTATTTTTTCTCTAGATTTCTGAGCCCTGTGGCGTTCCATAATCACCTACGCACATTTTAAACGCCATCAAATTTCGAGTTTGATACTTTTAAGAATATTGACGCATAGCAATGCTTAGTAAAACTATCAGAACCATGAACCATCGATGGTGGCACCGGTTCACAGACGTATCGGTTCGGGATCAGTGAAGCACTCATCGTAATGTAAGCCCTGAACTGTATGGAACCGCACTTGTTTATATGAAATGCAACAGCTCAATTGAACTGAAGAGCCCTTATGGATGAACTCTTCGAAAAAAAATCTATCCTTGCATACTATCCTGCTCCGAGGTTCAATTCATAATTAGCTACAGGGCTATGCGCCTTGTAAACGCGTGTGAATGACTCGTCGACAATACGGCCGTGCTTCTCCGTCTCTATACTGGGAGGACGCTCTTCATTCGCCAAGGCCAGTCGTGGAGCATAAGCGTGAGTGAATGGGGAACGTGCTGCGCTGCCTGGTGCTTTGTTACAGGGATGAAGGAAAGAAACCCGAGGAGGGTGAGAAGAGACTCGCGAACCCGTTGCCAGGGATTGAGTCGGGTAGTTGTCGTAAGAGGACGGGGATGAGTGGACCTCCGACCTCGCATCTCTTGGTGGTCACCGTGAAGGCCAAGTCCGAGTCCGGCCTCTTCCTCCTCCGCACCGAGGTTTTAATCCATTCACTTCGCTTAGGCAGGGACCCATTCGCTGGGATGTCCGAACGTCTGCTGGGGATCTCCCGACAGTTCCCGATTGGATGTTTCTGTATTACTAGGCGAAAGGCGTAGAGCAGTGGTTCCCAACCTCGGGTCGCGACCCAAATTAGGGTCGCGTGGGGTTCTCAGTAGGGTCGCGAAGGGTCATCAGAAGAAAAAATTTTTTTTTGCAAAATGCATCATATTTCGTTATGAAGATATTTATATACATATTTAAATTTTATTATAAGCCTGAGGGTCGGGAGGTCCTGTTGGTGGCCACTTAGGGTGGCCACTTAGGGTCGCAGCAAAAAAAGGTTGGGAACCACTGGCGTAGAGTGTTCGTCATCGCCGGGATGGGGGAAAGAAGGTGGGGTGGTTCCCGTGGCAACATTGGAGGGTCGGGGGAAGAAATGTATTTTTTCCCTCCAAGACGCGAAAATAAAAAAACGATTGGCGAATAGCTGACAATTTGTGTCTGAGCTGATTCCACATCATCATAAGCGCAGCCGTTTGCCCGGCTAGGTAATTTCATAATATGCAATAGTAATGACCTTCCTTGACCGCGATTTTTAATCGGGAAGTCGTCTGACGAGTAGAGACCAAAGCAACTCCTTCCAATTTGAAGGGTGCACGCTTTAAAATGAAAATTTAGAACGGGAATCCTGCGCCTAAACTCGTGACTTCTTTGCCTTCCCCTGTCCTCAAGAACAGTGGTTCTCAACCGGTGGGCTGGCCGTGTCCAAATATCCGCCAATTTAAAAATAATTAACAGTTATACGAACAATAATTATATAGCTATTAAGTCTGTAATGGGCCTCGGATCACTTTGCAGTTGTTCAGGTGGTCCGCAGGATCGAAACGGTTGAGAACTACTGCACTAGAACAGAGTTGTAATTAAAATTATGCTTTGTCGTCGGCTTTGCACCATTTTGCATCGTGTTTTCGAAGTCTCGGCTAGTGGTTCGACAGCTTTCCTTCCTGTATTTAGATTTCTCCACATGTATGAAATATTAAGGGATATTGCGTTTAAAAAAAAATGCCCATACTTAGAACACTGGGATTCAAGAGGAGTCAGGTAAAAGCGGTTTGTACACGATTCGGTTCAGGAGTCTTGTCTCGATACACTAAATCTATCGCGTCAAAAATCTTTCTCCCCTGAGATGGGACTATATTAAATTTTCATCATAGCGGTAGGTCGTAAATTGGCATTTTGCTGGTGGGAAACTGGATCTCACGCCCTTGAAGTACCTATTGGAAGATCTTTTCTTCCTTGTGCACGACGTCTTTTTCCTTTCTTGCGCGCGTGAGGATTGAATGTCATTACCTTGACTTGTGTGACGCGTCAGTTTTACAGAGGCCTTTTGCATGGTGGAAAGAAACTGGACGAAGGTTTTTGCGTTGTCTTCGATGAGAGACTATTGCGTTTCATTCGTATCTTCCGTTATGTGTGGGATACACGTGCACTCGTTTCCGTATAACTTTGATTTGGTACATGTTCCTTAGTTCATGTCAAACACTTAGCAATGAAGGATGTTGAACAGAGACCCTTTACTGCGCCTTCGCCATTGTAAATATTGGATGCGTGCGTAAATGTGAACATTTTGGGAATGTTTCAGCTGGTGTATGTGGGGCAGGACTGCAAAAGCATCCCTCGAATCCTGGCCAACAAGTATGGCGAGTCCACAACCCGACTAGATATGAGCTTCAATGCCCTCCTCTCCCTCCAGGTATGCGAGTACTGTATACCCTGTGTACTTGTGACGATGAAGGTCACCGTTGACGACTTTGATGCGGCACAGGGCATTGAGAAGTTCTGCAACCTGGAGGAACTGGTGTTGGATAACAACCAGCTTGGGGACACCATCCGTCTTGCCTACAACCCGTATCTTCGAGCTCTTAGTCTCAACAAGAACAAGGTCCAACTTCCAAAAAATGAGTCGGGGCTCTCCATATGATCTTAGATTCGCTCTTTCTTTCGAAGGTTCGAGTAAAATGGGATGCTGCGACTCGTTTAGATCAAAGACGAGGAAAAAAAAAACTCTCCAGGTGGAGATTGCTTGACAAATTGAACATTTTAAGCATGCCGTATGAATGTTAGTCGTTCACACGGAAAGCCTCTGAAGCCTTTGTTGGTTCATTCCATTCCGTGGGAATCCGACCCGACAGATTTCATCTTTACGCGTAGATAAGTGACCTGGAGGGCCTCGTGGAGATGTTGAGCGAGCGTGTGCCCAACTTGGAATACCTGAGCCTTCATGGGAATCCAGCCTGTCCTAGCCAGCTGTCAAATCGAGACCACAATGAAGCCGACTACCAAAGATACAGGTTCCTTCCCTCTCCATACAAAGTCGCACGTGCTTTCTTGAATCCTGTTTTGAAACCCAAGCGATGTGGGATATGATGCGATTTCACGAGGCAAAATGGAAAAACCTACGAGGGTTGCATCCTTGTCGAGTGGGAATAGGGTGAGTGCTGCGAATGTCAGCACTCTGAGCAAATTCTTCACTTCCACCTTACTTGGTGGTTTTCGTAATGGAGCTTCTTCGTTCATGTTGGGTCTGGTGATGCCTTTATTATAAACTTTATTGTACCGCAAACCTCGAGCACCCCAGGTCCCAAGCAGCATGTTTACGTAAACAAGATATCAATTTTTTGCAAATGTAAATTTCTTGCGATTGCCATGAAAATGACATCACGTTTACGTGAAATTTACGTTCCTACATTTACGTCACCAAAGTGTACGTGTATTTTACATAAACTAGACGTCACTCCATTTGACGTGAAGTACAGGATATCAAGTTTATGCAAAAAACATTTCTGCAAATATGTTGGCATTATCTTGACAATGGTTTGCGTAAAAATGATATAAAATGGACAAAAAATTTACATTCAGTTTACGTAAAATTAACATAAATATGCTGTTTGGGGTATTTCCTTTCCGAGGGCCTGGGTCGAAGGGGAAGTTAGATGTTGGCAATCTTGGCACACTTGCTGGCGTAGACAGCACCACTCCGTCGGAAATCTCGGCACACTTGTGTATCACTGTCGTTTACAACGGACTCAAAAGTGAATGCAACGACCTTATAAAATAATACCTATTGTGGAAGAGAAGAACAGAATGTGCCAAAGCTTAGCAAAATCACAAGATTTCGCCGGGTTTTAGGAGTGCGCCTAGAGAAAGTAGCCACTGCGAGAAAACTACAACACCTAATATGGCTGTTCCAAGCACATGTTAGCAGCATTAGTCCTACCATCTGAGAATACTTATCTGCCCGTGCCTAAGGGATTAGTAGTGAAAGCAGAATTTTGACGAGTGCAAAGTGCCGATATTCGCAGCACTACCCTAGTCGCTTACCCTTCAGGTGTGATCGAAGATTCCGTCAACCTTGTTCTGGAAGAGTTTCTTTTTAATTTCGCCTCGAATGAGAATTTCCTGCGGAATCAATTATTGTCACTGAGGGTTACTTCATTCAGTATCCGAAGGCCAAATTCCATGGAAGAAGTGAACATTATGGAGGCCCTAATAGGAGGGCAGTAAAGCATATGATGAAGAGAGTATGTACAAATAAATATTTTCAGTATTTTTTTTCCATGAATATATGCAGGTACTATGTACTGTTTCGCCTGAGGAAGCTGAAATTCCTTGATTCCCGGATGGTGACTGATGAGGAGCGATATGAGGCTTCCCGTGTTGGTCCCTACACCAAAGTCATCAGACCCTCCCCATCACAGGTCAGACTCGGGCTCATCTACAGCATACATGTCGAACATTGAAGGTTCAGTTAGAACCTTCAATGCTCCAGGTTCACAATTGTACAAGGAGCGTACGTAGTCTTTACTATTTCAAATAACATGACAGCCTGTTTCGAGGAAAATAAATTTATTTCTCAAATAGCCACTGCTCAGGCATTCCTTTGGGCAGTCAAGATGACTGCTTTTAACGCATCGATGTAGTTGCCAGAACTATCGAGGTTGCTTATGGGGAATTTATTCATCTTTCCCTGAACGTCGTGGAGGGGAGTCGGGGGAGGGGTTACTGAGCAAGAGGGAAGTCCATCGCGATGGCTGATAAAATCATCGAAGGACCATGACAGCTCTAGCATTCATGACTGCTGCAACAATTTTTCTGTCTTTTCCTTGGCGTAACTGATGTGGATATTGAAAGAAGAGTTTCCTGACAAATATGGAATCACAAGGTAGATAGGGTAGACATGCATGTACATCAGCGGACAGAGTGGTTCCTGTGGAAGTGGGGAGTTAGGACGGTCGATACTGTTCGACGACTCCTAAGGAGGTGGAAATGTGTGAAAGGTCTGCTCCATTAAGGCCGTTTACACCTCTCTAAGGCTGGAGACAGCTTTTTGAACATTCAGTGTGCCTTCGAGAAGTGCAAACGGGGACGCATGATGACTTCCCATTACCGTTTAAGCGGTTTGTAGTGTCATTGCGGTTCTAGGAAGCTGAGATCATCAGCCCCCTTTGAACTATTCAACCCAGTTATGGATCGTTTTTTTGATAGAGAAGACCCTCCACAAACCCCTTGGAAGGCGTAAATAGGGAGAGTGCATAATAATCATTGAAAGTGCAATACCTAGGTGGCCATATTTGTCTTGAGGTAAAACCCTAAGTGAAGAATATATCAACAAAGAATTGGACACCTACCAAAGATCCATGCTTTACTCAGAGCTGCATTGATGGGATAAATAAAGGCATTGCACTGACTGCATGGGGCAGCGGTCCTTGTGTATGTATGTACCATCTTTATGGGTTTATCATATGGAATCGTACTCTGTTTTCAGCTCCCAGATGATGCAGATGGGGTTGGACAAGATGAGAGTAGGTATTCTCCCCTCCCACCTTCAACAAGAGATGGTCAACATGCAGGTCTGTCCCAATCATAGCTCTACTGATTGGCATTTTTTGCAAATGCATTGAAGATGAAGTCAGCACCCTTGACAGGTGCATATGGAACTCGTCGAACGAATTACCTGGGCAAGCACTCAGAGGGGAATCGATTCATCTATAATAAGGACCTGTAACCTGCCCCCTCACTGAAATCTCATCTCATCGCTTTGCTTTGGTGCTTGTAGATGTCACTGGCACATATGAAGCACAAATACCTCCAAACTTCCCCATGGATCTTGGGTCTTTCATTTTCTAGATTTTTAATGGCTTTGCCTCATTCCAAAGTGTCCTTGGACATTGGTGATTTCAACATTTTAGCTGAGCATTTATGTAATTTAGGTAATTTTTCAGGTACACTAGTCTTATATATTTTGTGTATTAATTGACATGATCTCTAGTGAGCAATAAAAGCAATAACAGCTACCAATGTTGTATTTCTCTTGTTGGTGAACAAATGCCAGGTAAGTTTTTATTTTATTGAAGGACAATTCATGTAGGTTCTTTAACAATCCTTGAATATCTACATCATAAATTTTTTGTAACACTACTTACTCTGGAGGCTGATGATAAGTTCCTTCAGCTGGCTTCGTTTTTCTTGCAAGTCGTGTGCAATGCTGCATATCTCAATGGCAGTGGGGTTATTGCCCTGGATGCAAGTCTTCACTAGGGCTTCTGCATTGCAGATCACATGCACTCCACAGTCATAAGTGTTATTCTGCTGTGTGCATTTCATGTCAACCACTTTGATATCACCTTCCACTTTAAAAAATGGTTCTATCTTTTTGGTAAGTCTGTTCACATGTGATCGATTTGATGAACTAGATGAGTCAAAGTGACAGAAAGCATTCTTTGCTCGGGAGAAGACAAGCAAGGACCAGTGGGAACCCCCAGGAGTGTCATAACTCAAGGAGTCATTCACAGGAAGGAATACTATATCCTTCAAATGCAATTCTAATGGATCCAGAAATATGTGGAGTTCAGATACAGAACAAAGCTTCACTGCCTGGGTGACTTCAGGGCTCAAGAAGCACACTTTGGGGTTTTCCTTGAGAACCTGGACATAAAGATATTCAAAGTAGAACCCAATGAGCTTGTCATTGAGCCAGTTCTTCCCCTCAAGCAGCTGAAGGTCTGATTCTCGAAGGAGACTGTTTTCATAACTCAACACAATGGAGTCCAGCTGAGGCATCCTTTTTTTCTCCTCTAATATATAAAAAAAATTCCTCTCTGATCTAGGTCAAATGGACAAGGAAAAAAGTTTTCAAGCACTGCAATACCTGTTATCCACATGAAAATTGAAAATTTCACTCTCAGAAAATTGTCCCAACTTAATGTTGGTATTCACAGCTACATTTCCTCTTGCTTCTAAATCCAGATGAATGCTGCAGGTTTGCAAGGGCATTGTGAGTAAAGCATCATGATGAGTTCACAATGACCATGCAAATGATCAATAAAACAAAATGGTGAACAATAATACAACACCTTTGTGCTTTTCAACTGGCTTGGAGACCAGCCAGGGTTTTTATACCCTCTTAGGAAGTATTCACCAACACCTCTCTACCATTTTACAAGGATATGTTCTTCCTCTCCTTTGAGAAATAGCAAGGAGGATAAGGAACTGAGGAGGATTCATTTCCAAGTTCAGTTTGTCATTTCTGTGGCCATCTGGCAAGAACAAAATATAAATGATGAAATCCTTAGAGTAATAAATCAAAAGAGGTAAGAGTGAAAAGAAAGGTACCTTGTAGTATATGGATTTTTGTTATTGGGGCCTTCATCAAGGAAGCTGATGAAATGACAATCACTTATCATGATGGCAATTTGCTGAAATCGACCTTGTTGGTCAAATAGAATATGAAAGCTTCCAAGAGAATGGGGATTTATAATTTTAAAGATTCACTGCAAATTCCTCCACTTACCACCACTCTGAAGTGATTACCAATACCTACAAATGATCTTGACTGGCCCTTCTGTATGTCTGAGACTGAAAGGCCCCCTCTTCTTACATTTTGGAAAGGGAAAGAGAGCAGATTCCATGAAGATGCACTTCATTGTTCATGTATTTAAAAGTGGAGCAAAATGTCCAACTACGAGTTGAGCTAGTCCAGCAAAAAAAAAACAACAATAATAAATATCACAGTATAGTGAACCATTCACCTTTTATATAACTGCAAAATGGAATTTGCATAATGCAAGTCAAGTATATCAGCAGAAACAGAACAGTTCCTGAGAGACAAGCAGTAGCAGCTATGATACCACAGGTCTTGATTTAGGACATTGAAGACATACCAGACAGAAAATCACTGAAATCCCTTTCCACTAAAATCGTTCATCCTAGTGAGTAAAAGTATATGGGTAAATGAATCTGATGAGGGAATACTGTCCTGATATGCATGCAGAGCAATCATAGCTCATCCATAACAGAAAAGAGTGAAAACCACCTGCAAATAACTATTATGAAAAACACACTAACAAACTATCACAGTACAGGCATAAGATTCAGTCTGCTGAAAAGGACATCAGACTTCATCCTCATTCCTGTCATGAAGAGTATCACAAAGAAATACCCAACTAGTCCAAAAAATTTATAATTTGAAACAGATATTTCAGCAATAGTGTAAGGATTTGAGCTCCTGCTATGTCACAATTCAACAGTGGGAATTGGCCTCACAGGATTCTTACTGCTACCTGTACTTTTGTGATCTAGAAATATGTCACACACTGAACTTGAGGGCAATAAGAAAGATTGAAATGAATTGGCCCAATAGTGTAACATTTGCATGCATATTCATTCAATTCATCACTGGTTCTGTGTGTCATCCCAAGACCAATCATCATCGCCTTCCCCCCAACCGCTCACATCTGCCTGTTCATCCATCATGCGCAACTTCACCTCAATGCTCTTCAAATCCACATCTGGCCCTGAAGATGACAATGACATGCCATGTGCATCTGACACTGATGAGATTGACACAGATGATGATCTCTTAGTGGACAAGTTTGGCTGCATGTCACTGAAGAAATCCTCCTCTTCTTCCTTTGTCCTCCAATCCATCGTCTTGATGTCATATGAGATGATATCGTCATCTATATTTGAAAGTATAGGTGTCTTTGTTCTTACTCTTGTTGTCATAGGTAGTGAAGGTTTAGGACTAAGCTTTGAAGGGGGTTGCACAGGTACAACTGGTGGAGTTTCAGGTGCAAGCGATTCCCAATTTTCCCATGTGGTTGCATCTGTGGCACTTTCATCTCTTCCATTCCCAGATGGAGTAGACAAACGAAGAGACTTCCCTTTGTTCAGAGAAAGAGGCATGGATGTGGTGATGTCCTCCACATGATTATCAATAAGTCCAACACATGGACTGTTTTGGACTTCACCTCCATCAGGCGAACTTCGTCCTTCCTGAATTGCCTCCACATTCAGAGACTTGTTTCCCATCTACATAAAAATATCACTCATCAAGACTATGCCAAATGTAAGTCAAATTTTCAGCCAACTCAATAATAAGTCTTGTGTATTTCTTTATGCTTGAATAAGACTGGTGGAGTTTCATGTAAGATACAGTGTTCCTGGCTATTTGTATTAGTTCTTGACTGGCTGATATATACCAGGTGCTGAGAAAAATGTCTGTCCAAAATGCACTGCATAAGAGATGTTAGTATCTGAAAATCAGTGAAAGCTACAGCTGTCTAAGTTTCAGTAGGTATGCAATAACCTTTCTTCTTTAATGTAAGTTTATTCCAAAAATTTCAAAGGATGATTTTGTCACAGAAGCACTTTGAAGTTTGAGAGTAAAATATTACAATATTCCTGTGAGCCCAGAAAGACTCTCTGAAGGGAATGCATGATGGGCTGAGCTTGTGACTTGATAACAGCATTGAGCCACAGTTTTAATTGAAAAATTGCTCATTTAATAAAATTAGTATGCATATTGATCCAAAAAACACACCTCAATACCTCCCTGTTGACCTTTGACGAAACCACGATCACAACTGGCATGACAGACAAGTCGGCACAAAAGTGATCAAGTAGACTGGCAACTATACTGGCCCTTATAGAGAGAGACTAACGAAGGGCAGGGATTTACAAATCTTTTTAAACACTATCTTCAAAGTGTTTCTGTGGTTAAACCAGATGGGAGAAAACAAAAAAAAAAAAATTATTTTCTCTGGAAGACAAGATGTAGGTGTACATATCCTAGAAAATACACAACTGTAACATGCCAAATTACCTGATATAAAATTCAGACAGAGGTGTGTTTTTTTATTATCATACCTGGTATATAGATTTATGTACTATAGATTCATGCTAATGAATAAGGCCCAAATGTTCAAACCTCTTTTAAGGGAGATAAAGGGGCCTTTAAGCTAAGAGCACTTTTCCCCCACATTGGAATCCATGCATCCATAAAGGACCATTAACTAAAGGAAGTTTGAAGGAACTTTTGCAACATTTTTCTAGAGTTGCTCAAACTTTCATTCTTTTGTTCTGTTATTTTTGCACATTATTATCTGGCACTATGGGGAAATACCAGATATTGCAGTTGGTCTGTCACTTTTTTTTTTAATATTCAGTCTGTCAGCAGCAACCATAGTGACCAGACAACACAACCCAATGTGTATGCGTAGCTTTCTGCCTGTCTTCCATGAAAATATCCACTTCCCTGCCAGCCCTGGTGGTTGACAGATCCATAGTAGACAATGGAGGAGAGCAGCTGCTCCTGGCCGTGTAGACAGGGTTGCTTGGTGCACGTGAAATGCAAATCTTGCATCCTACACATGCTCTCCTCCCATGTCCATGCAATGCAGATGCATGAATCATCAAGAACATGTCAAGTTGTCTGGGCCTTTTCATATAGGCCTATGCCAAACCAATGACAACTATTATTCATTTCAAGGTCAGATGGCTAGGATGCGATGAATATATATAATAACTCCAGTGGTACAGGGGCCAGTGGAATGCCAGATCTGGTACTCTCTAGTTACAATATTAATTGCGAGTCACAGTCAATTCCTGCACATCTTGATATAGATTTTTCATACAGATGCATCTACAATAATGACATGTAATCTTCAATTCCTTTGTGTGCATTTGAACTGGAGGGGTTTATTGTAACTTCAATAGCCTCAAGGACAGAAACAAGCCTTACCTTTGGTAGTGCATTTGAGAACAAAGTCTTCCTCTTTGGCCCAATGACAGTTGAAGCACCCAAATATGGGATGAGATCAGCCAATGCCCTCAATGTGACTGCCACAAGTTCATCATTAGTGTCATGAATCCCCATCAAAATCTGGAAGGAGATTTCAAGTCAAACTCCAGTCTCTAATGATGAATATGTTCACAAACTAAACTTCACTCAAAGTGATGTTCATTAATGACCATCATAAATATCATACCTGAGGTAGTAGAGACTCTTGTAAGACATCCTTGGAAATAGCATGAAGATAGAGGGGGAGATTCTGAAGGAGAACAATGCGAATGGGTGCATCAAGCACCATGTATGCTTTGGATATATGAGGAATCATATATTTCTGAAAGGATCTGGGCCCAAAAATGGCATTCTGTGGTGTCTCTCCACACCAGGCCTCCTTTTGTTCACCTGTCACGTTTCAACAGATAGATCAATACAAATGCTTTAGTTACAGAAGTATTCCACTGAAGACTGGAATGAAGTTGGAATTCTTTAAGACTGCATTGCTTGACAAACCAGACATTTGCTTGCCTTTCACTCATAGGAGTACTCCAAAGCTTGCCATTCTAGACCACAAGGTTTTTTAATTACCATGACCTGCATGATTATAAGCCAGTCTTTCCTTGTATTCAATTTGTGAATTGTATTCAATTTCCATCTGTAGACTATTCATAAGGAATTTAGCCTTAGACAATAAGTCTTGCCATGAATGGTTCATATGTAAGCTTAGGGATAAATGTATTGTTAATGATGGCATATCAAAGGTGATCTTTGCTTAATGCCAGCTCCAGTGATAGCAGCAGTAAATAAGAATGAAGGCACCAAAAACAACAAAGATGGATGCAGATGAAGTAGACTCACTTGGTCGAGCTGCAAGGAGGAATGGAAGGAAGAGGGAATGGGCTGAAGAGTCCAAAAGGAGGATGCGAGATGTAAGGAGCCCTGACAACTGGAGACCTATTACTTCCTCTGGAAATCTGTACAGCTTTTCTCCCAGTTCCCTGTCAGTCACACAGTGAGATGACACATCACATCACAGTACATTACAGCCAACTCTGACAGAATGGCAAGATGCATGTTCAGGGTTCACACTAGCTTTTTTAAATTTTGAGTCCCAGCACCTAGCTTCAGCTCAGTGGGAAAATGTTCAGATGGACGTCAATGAGTTCCACGGACTTAGATGATTTGCAAATATGAGTCCCCCCAATAAAATATATGTCAGGGACTTGCTACAGCAAGTGAAGTGAAAATGAACCCTGATGTTGCAACACATCCACCAATAATAATAAACTGAGCAATAAGATGAAAATTTTTTTTCAGTTGACAAGTTTTTGAGAACTTCTGGGATGATATTCCAATATAACAAAATTCAAGCAAAAAAAAAACTATGACAATTTCTTTTGCAAAAACTTGGCAAAAAGTTCGATAACACTTCAGGAATAATGGTGAGCTCAGCACAATTAATTATTAATGACTGTAAAATGCAAAAGAACTAGGAGCTGTAATATGAAAGTGCTCACCTGAAGAACAGCTCCCTTTCTTCAGAAGACTTAAGAGTGAACAAGGAGAGAAAGGAGAGGACCTGCATGTAGTCAATGTGGAAGACAGGATGTGCCTGGAGCACCTTTATTGACACAGGGGTCTCACTTTCTGACACCACCTCAATGAAATCCTGGGCTTCTGGAATGCCTGAATCAAAGGACCAAACATTAACTTTTAAGATTCCAAGTATTTATAAGAACCCATAAACAAAACCTATGCAGCTATTTTGATGTTGCCTGACTCTCAGTGTGTGGTGAGAGCAGATCCACAGCAAGAGCAGAAAATGAGAGAAGATCCTTCAGCATCTCTTCTTGTGATGATTTCCTAACCCCTTCTAGCAACAATTTCCACTTCCCATCTTTCTTGGATATGAAAATGGCATCATCTTGTAAGCTTCCATGTGACTGGTTAGCCTGAGAATTGAATCCATTTCAATATAACATTCATATGTGAGTGATTCAATGCATGAAAAACACAATATCTCAGACTGACCTTGGTATGCAGGAAGTTCAATGCTTCCAGGATGGAGGCCAGACCAGACACAATGAGAAAGGGATGTGCAATGTTGGCAGGGTTCAGGCCAGAGACTTCTTCTGTTGCAATACAGATTTCATCTCCAGCCTTCCAATGCTCCAGATGATGGATGAAAGAAGGATGGTGAAGTCGCAGTAAAACCTTCATGATGAAACAAAGAGCAAATTCTACAGATATTATGCCAATTCAATACACTTTCCCTATTTCTTTGCATTTGAATGAGAGAAACAATATCATTCCTCTTCTGAGTCTGAGCTCCTCCAGCATCATTCTGATGTAAGAATCCTCATTGCAATTTCAAGAATCTTTAAATGCCATCACCTTACCTTGAGAAACTCAGTGTTAGACTTGGGGACATGGAAGACAGTTGCTGATTCTTCTGAAGAGCCTTCACCTTGGCTGTATGATATGTTGTCCCTCCAATTCTTTCTTTCAATACCCATCATAACTCTAAAATAATAATTAAAATGTCATTCCATGTCAAAAGCCCAAGAGGTAGTCATGTGAAATATCAGAACAGCAAATCCTATTTGAACAAGTTTAAACTCAATTTTACATTATAAATTCAATTAATGCAGCATATACATCTAAAAACTTTCTAATTGAAAACAGTTTTATATTACTTCTTATTTCATCTCTAATGAGCAGCTGATGCAATTCAGACAAAAGGAGCTGAAGAGCTGTGCCCCTGCTGATGAGCTCATTGTGCTCACAGCTCTTCCTTTTCATGCTTTTTTAAAAATCAGCCTCAATATGAAAGCAACCGCCACTTTAGCAACATCATAAAATGACCAGAGTGCCATAGTGGAATTAAAGTTAATGACTAGCAAAATCTCAGAAGCAAGCAAATCAGTGCAAAAAGTTACATTCTTTGATACAAATACAAGTATTAATAGTCAAGAATTATAAGAATTTAGTACCAAGGTTCTTAAATTGGCTTTTGGAATGGTATTTTCAACTCTCAAAACTGCAAAAAACTGAGATTCTCCTATATTGCTTCACTATTATTTAGCACATGGTGCTGCACATGTCAGTAATGCCTTATTCTTCTCATATCTGATTTTTTTAAAGAGGGACTCAAGTTACTTGAAGTTACCTTCAATGAAGTCAAATTAAAGAATGGACATTGATGTACATGGATGCTTTTGAATCTACAGATGTCTCAAGTGTGAGATGCAATTCTTATGGAGACATTTCAACAAACGAATCATAAAATATGAACCAGGAATCAAGTGAAGTTGAGTTAGGCATATCTCCATGATGACATACTATAACTTCCATCTCTCTCTACATTCTAGACAGCAGCGATGATTATCTTGTGACTCAACCTTTCATGATTCCCATGAACTTAAGGGTTCATATTTGGGATTGCCTTTACAATCAAACCAATTGTCAACCTGACTCAAGCATTTCTAATACCAACAACATCAAGCATTAGTATCAATGTCAGATGTGCTGAATATCAGCCAATATGGTGCTTTGAAAATAAATCACAACCGACATGACAAAGAAATGACTAATCTCTTTCTTTTTTCCTCTTTTTCTTCTTATGCTTCTTAGATGAATGATCACTGTCCACGTCACAAAGTTTACGCTTTCGGGATGATTGCTCTTCATCAGAGCTTGAATCACAGTCACTTTCACTGTCATGATCCTTCTTCTTTTTCTTCTTCTTCCTTTTTTTCTTTTTTTTCTTCTTCTCCTTTGAATTAGGCTCTTTGCTTTCACAGCTTTGATTCTGACCACCAAGGAGGAGTTCTCTTTGCTTGCGAAGCTCCTCACGGTGTTTCTCGTTCATTTTTTCCTCCCATGCAGCCAATGTGCTACAGCCTTCTTTCTTCTTCTCAAGAAGTTTCTTCACCTCCTCCCAAGTTGGTCGTTGACGAGAGAGATAATCCCTGATCGTGGGGCCAGAGGGTCCCGATGAGCCTTTTGCTCGGGCCATGGCAATGGGGTTCATGAATGCATATCTATTGTCTCTCTTTCCCATGATGAGGCCCAGGGCAAGGCCTATGCATGCAGGAATAGAGACTTCTGAATGGCCCAGCAACAACCTATTTTGAGAAGAGATTCACTTAATCAGGATCACTGCAGGTCTCAAGGGGTTAAGTCAAGATTCCTATATTGACATCTACTGTAACTAGGCCCTACAGGGCAAATATCCATTTTCTATGAACTTAAAGAGGGGGAAAGTAAACCCCAGGCCAAAGGAGATATCAAGCTTTAGCGGATTTTAAAATTAACTTTTAACCACTTCCTCCCTTTCCCTCAGGCTGTGATCAACAGATTTTGAAAGACATGTAATACTTACTATCAATAATTTGTAGCAATGAACCAATCCCATAGAACAACATCCATTCCTGAGTGAAGGAACAGTTGCTTCACAATAATTTAGCAGGAAAACCTACAATAAAGAATGAAGTATCTGCTAAATGGGGACAAAGGCGGTTCAGAAATACTGCAATGGCCCAAGTTTCACCCAAATCCATCAAGTACTCGTGAGTACTTGAGTTTGCATAGAGTGTCAAATCTGAAGCATATGCATGAGCAGAAATTGGGGGAAGTTATGAAACTGCTTGGAAAAGAGAGGCAAAGACAGTCTCCCCATCATATATAAAGTTTTTAAATCTTCACAGGCACTACTCTCAGAACAATTCAGTCAAGATATACGTTTATAGCATTGTTTTCACTATGAATTCGTACTAACTTCAACATAGATCAACGTTAATTCAAGGGGTTGCACCTTCTGAATATCATTGGCATCTTCAACTATACCAAAGGTGAAAGATTTCAACAGGAAAACATTGTACATATTATGTCTTTGCACAAGGCACTGTTTCTATTCTGCTTTGTCTACATCAGGCACAGCCCCTAGCACCAAGCGCGCGGACATTTTTTTCATGAGGCTCAGAATCAATGCTGCCCGGTAACCATTCCAATATTAGGAAATTCTAGCTTTCCGCTCGTTATTCCCAATCTGCTACTCCAAACACCGTTTTCCGATTCTCAATAAATGGGTTTCAAAATAAAAATTTCCTTTAACGTGGGTGCAAAGGTGATGGAAAGTTGAAGACTGAAGGCCCGGAGACAACGGAGCTTGTCCAACAGTGACCTTCACATGTGGGCCAGAAGTGTGTAGGCTATTGCTAGGAGGCGAATAGGAGGGTCCCTTTTTTCTTCATATTTCTGTACTACAGCTGCTCTAAGCGAAAGTATTCTTATTCCCGCTGCGGGCAAGGAGCTGCAGTGCTTGCATCACCATTTTTGCTTTTACTTTCCTTCTTGGCTACCTCATGTGAGGCGACGGAACCGTGTTTGGATTCAAGTAATCCGGCGGCTTGCCAATCACAGCTTTCCATAAGTGGCCCAAACCAGCTTGTCTACAGTTGATTTTCATATTATATACATATGCAGGTGTTGGAAGACCTAGTCATAAGTATCACATTCATCTAACGTAAAGTACATGGAGATGAAATTTCTCGTGGGTAGTCATGTTGCATCAAGGAGGATCAATCGTTCTTTCCTGTAACAATTATGCTGTGTTCACTGCAGAGGTGATGGAATTATATAATACGCCAAGGACTAGACGTAGTTCCAAGAGCAGAACTTTTCTCCTGTAATTTGCAAATGAATTCAGACCACCACAAACATTCAGCCCATAAGGCCTAATGGTTATTTCTACCATAGGAAATACCCTCATCTCCTTTGCACCATTGAATTAAGATTGTGCAATGTAAAAGGTGATATGAATTCATTTTAAAATAACTATGTCATAAATACGATAGGTTCTTGCTTTATCTAGGACAGCCCCTGCTTATTTTATGTCCAGGGCAAACCCTCCTCTCAATACCTTACATTTGCATTGCAGGCCCTTTTTCCAGGAAAAATTGACCATTGGGCTTCTTAATTGCTCAAAACTGTTGAAGTTAATGGGGAAAAAACTTTTTAATCTAGAGTGTCTGAGTCATTAACTATTGGGCTTCTAGCTCTTTACCCTTTATGCCCTGAATTATTAATTTATAATAATGTATTCATTGTAATTAGTTATATTCTTGAGGAAGATTTCTATTAACAGAAATATAAGCCAAAATAATTTTCATTCTCATAACAATATTTATTGGTGCTGGGACTTTGCAGTCCCAAGTTACTATTTTCATCATAAAACTCACATCACTCAACATTTTTAATGAATTGTAATTTATAATGAATGAACATGTTTTTATAATACTATATACAAATTGAAAGCCACTTACCACAGGTGTTTCTTGCAAAATACCATAAAAACCTATTCACTGTTTATTTCCTCAACTAGTAATGGCACTCACAGATGCACAAATCACAACATTTCTACATATCTTCAAGGGAAAAAATTCAAGAAACTTCTGTCACCTAGTGGTGATAAGATATACTATAAAGCATGGGGGACTTGTAGGACTTGTCAAGTTATTAGCTTGAATGGGAGGAATATAGGCATTCTATATAGCCAGGACTTTCAAGTCTCAACATGGCATAAAGGGTTAAAGGAGGGATATGAAAAGAATTGCTATGCTGCTCTGGATCTAACTGGATCTAGAGCAGTCCTGGATATGGCCACTATCCATATGATGTTTGTAATTAAGTTCTACCTTTTCAGGTACGACTCATTGAGGAAGTGATCGCATCATGCATGCCCTGGCACAAATCGTGAAGGTTTCACTTCCAAATTACCTCTCTTCGCTCCCCATTCCTGATTCCCTTGGTGGCTGGTTTCATTTATCCCGTAAGTTTCCAGTTTTCTTTCATGCCAACATCTGAGCATGTTCTCAAGAAATGAGGTTAACCCCTTAGCAGGAACTTTGGATGAGTAAAAACAGACTTTGAAGTGTTTCTAATGAATGTACATCTCTTGAAACCCTTTTGGATTTTCAAGAAGGACCCATTGAATGTAAAAAAATCTCTGCATGTTTCAAGCTCTTCATTTGATCTAGTAAGCCTAAATATGTCAGCATGAGAACCTGTTTTAAAATTGCATTGTAATGTTCAGCTTTTTCCCAAGTTGGCAGCCTTAATTGAGTCCTCCTTGGTGGAGTACTTTTGGTATTTGCTTTCTGGTTGCCTTCTCCAAAATCCTCTCCACTTCTTCTGTCTCATTAAAAAAAAATTCCAAGAATAGAGACAACGTAGCTCTTGTTTCAGTTCGAGATTGGATTTCCCTGATTCCATTTTTTGGAGGTGTGTTTGGAGTGGCCTATGTCATTCGCAAGAATGTTGCTCCCAGACTGTGCTACTATGCAAGGCAGTGTCAAGGAGGCCCTGCAGTCAAGGTTGGAGCTCTTGAATCATATCCATTAACCTGTCGTTTTTTATTTCCAGTTTTCCATTTATTGCTATACAATAGCAAATAGTGGAGGCCTCAGTTTTGTTGACTGAAAAGAATACCCCAATGTAAAAAAAATATTATACTGGTATATTTAGCTTCTATTGATTTCTTATTTTCAGGAATCAGAATGGGTGAACAAGAAGCTGAAGAAGGAAGTTCCCAAAGTGGTGGACTCATTTGACATTGAAGATGTAGGGGACAAGAAAGTTTTCTGTAGATGCTGGAAGAGCAAAAAGGTAAAGTCTCTATCCATGGACCTACTGAAATAGAAATGTATGCCAATTCAACATCGTTTCAGTTATGCATAACTTTTTTGTTTTTGCAGTTTCCCTATTGTGATGGATCTCACACAGGACACAATACAGATACTGGGGACAATGTGGGACCTCTGATCATCAAGAAGAAAGACAACTAAAGATCAAGTAGTTTCCATGTATTTTTGGTAGCCAGGATATAAGTGCAAGAATCATGTCCTTATCACATTGTTTATGCCATAACTATGTAAACGTTTCTTTGAGGGGTTATAATCCAATGCATGACTGTTGCTCCCTGAGTGTCTGGTTTAATCTCATCCTGTGATTCATTGTGAACCAGTTCTGATTTTTGGGAGATATGTCAATAAAGATTACATTTCTAAATTCTGATGCACTTTCACTATTTGAAACAAGAAGTGTTAACCCCTCAATGCCTGAATTTTTTTGTGGTTTAAAAAACAATTATTTGTGATTTTATGTTTCTGTGTGTAGAGAAATGGGTACAAAGTGAAAGAATGCCAAATATATGTTTTATTAACTTCATTTCCCATTTGATGCATATTTGCAACATCAGGTGCTTCACTCCTCATTCATGAAAGTCACGAAAGCAGTTCTTGTTGAGGTGAAGGTGGACATTGCATTTGGAACACATGAAGACAGTTTGCCCTTTACAATTTGGCTTCTCACACTGCTGCCTTGAATCTTCAACCATGGGCCAGTGACCAACTCCCTCCATTCTTCCATCGGTTGGTTTTGCCTGACCTCGATGCTTTTTTTTATCTTGAAAACTATTTGGATAGTTGATGGGCTCTTTCTCTGCCACATCTTTCTTTTCATATCAAGTGCTGCTGCTATCAAATTTCTGAATGAAAACAGGTGTCTTTGCTTTTTATTTGGTATTCAAAGTGATTCACAATCACAGCGATAGAGGAGCCAACTGTTGACAAAGGGAAAGAACAACTCATGATAATACTTCTTTGGACTCGCGTGGATCCTGTAATAGGCTCCGAGTGCATCTAGTGCATTGACCCCTCCCATGAAATTGTAGAGGGTAATGGCACTCAATAGGTACTTTTCTTTTTGCAGTTCTGTCCCATCTTTCAACAGTAGTGGGGTGACCACTAGCAAAAGTGCTTGCAATGATCACACCTCTGTTGTCAAACTGTTTCACACTTCTGACCTCTATGTTATCCACAATTGTTGCTTCCTCCTCAAAAGTACCCCTTCCTTTTTTCTTCATGTCCTTGTCCTGGCTGAAATTGCACTCCTGTAAGCGATCCGTTGAACAATTCCAACGCAAACCAGTTGTCGAATATAAGTGATTAATGCCACCTTGAACAACTTGGGACAATTTAAGGACAATGTTGCCACTTGCCCCAATGTCAGGTTCATCAGGAGCAACTTCTATCAGGCCATTTGTGTCACACAATACAAACACTTTGAAACAGTATACCCCCAAAAGGCCTAATGAGTGGGGATACAAAGTAGATCGATCCTCGAAGAGCACTATTATTTTGAATAGGTGACTTCAACTCAACAGCTTCTGGCAAACAGTTTTGCCACAGTGGAACATATTTTGCCGAGTTGTGTCTTATTACATTATTCCACACTATGCTCTTTTTTTAGTTCTGCGCACCTCTGCTGCCTGTCCCTGGCCCCGCGTTTGGTTCATCTGATGTCGCATCATTATCGCTGCTGGTATCCGATGGGGAAAAATCCTCGGATGAAGGAGGCACATACTCTATCACTTTCATCACTGTCACTAAGGCAGCTGTCATTCTTGTTTTCTGGTGCGTATTTGCAGAACCCCAGGACGCTTTTTTCACATAAAAAAGTAGGATTCATATCTATAAAAGTGGAGAATGACAGCTTAAACCACCGATCATGCTAAGATTGCATGCTTCTTCATCGCATGAATCACTACAGGTTTACGTAGAGATGTAAGCATCGGAACGTGCGTACGACACAATAACATAAAAATTGGCAAGTACCGCAACACGAGAGCATGGCATCACAAATGGCCGAATGTCTCGAAAAAAAACTCGACACACCATACAATAGCAATAATTTTCGTAATGTGGATCTATCTATGAAACAGGACCACACGCGTCACTAGAATCTTCAGAGCTTCATAAAGAAGATAATTTTTTTTAAATAAAAAAATCTGAAAATACAGCAAAATTCCTGAGCGAACGACCACGCTGTTTCATAAAACAGCGATGCTCCTGTGTTTGTTGGTATGTAAACCACAAAACCAACGATGAGATAGAATCACTGTTATCAGAAAACGACTCTGAGCGTCTCGATTTCGCCTCAGCAGACGCAAACGCAGTTTTTATATCTGATCGCATGGGTGGCCAGAATCGGTTTGAGACGAATTCGCATCTCTCGTCCTCGAGGACATTAAGAATGATCATCGTCTTTTATTCGTAAACTTTGGCATAGTCAACACGCAAAGGACGAGTCAAATACATATCACACATTCCATGCTTTGCGAAAGCAAACGGGGAACACAAGACGGCCATCAGCCGAAGCGCGGTTCTCTTTCTCGGCAATAGCAACCGTCGGGCGTATTGTCGTAGATCCAGGGCAAAAACTTGGTGATCCTGGTGTAAACACCCGGGAGACCGCGCCTTGCACAACCCCGTCCCCACGAGACGATCCCAACCAAATACTGTTTCCCACTCGGCGACTTCCAATGTAAAGGCCCTCCACTGTCACCCTGCGAGGACATTTGTCACGTGACCGTCAATCGTGACGTGCTGACATTTTCCTGGAGTTGCATCAAAGGATGAAAAAATCACTGAAGAAAAACCTACCTGGCAAGCATCTTTCCCTCCCTCCTTATATCCAGCACACATCATCGAGTCGAGGATCTCCTTCGCTTCGTACGAGGTCTTGGTTTTGCAGTCGTCGTTGGACATGATGGGGACACCCACTTTCTGGAGGGTCTTGGACGTCTGACCCGATTCGAGGACTCTTCCCCAGCCGGTCACCACTCCCGTTTCGTTCACGAAGGCATTGTCTGACGAAGGGGGAAAAAATATCGCTGAATGCACATACGAAGTCATTGCTCCACCTATTACACACCACAGGCATGTGCACGATTCCTGATGCCCGATTCTCAATTCAGATCATGAAACCGGATTCCCTTTGGCATGCAGTTGCAACTCTTCGCATGATTCTTCCTACGACCGAAGGGAAGGAATCTCGTCGATACGAACGACTAAAACTAGTCATCCAAACACGACTTTGAATCGGTCGGTGAATTCCCACAGATCGAAGATATTTCCAAAGACGTGAGACGTGGTGAGCCCGGCGTCTGCCCGCGCAAACATAGCCATCAATTTCCTAACTCGAAAGGGTAAGGACGCGCAGCTCGAAAGACAGTTTTTTTTTCGATTTCCCCTTCACAATTGGACACCAACGAGCCCACGAGAGAGCCGTGAATAATAAGACGTTCCGACGTACGAATATCTGACGCTCCCGGAAGACAGACGGGTGGAACCTCCCCGGTCCCGCTCAACGGAAGGGCCCTGTCGAGTCTCACGACGGCGACGTCGTTCTCGAACGTGTCCCTCACGAAATTCGGATGGATCACGATCCTCTGCGGCTTGAGCACGAGGGTGTCCAGGTCGTTGGGGTTCCCCCGGTCGAACTCCCTCGCGACGATCCCCAGCCGGTTGGAGTTGATGCCGTAGACGCAGTGGGCGGCCGTGAGCACGTACCGGTCGTTGATGACCGCGCCCCCGCAGTAGAAGCGGCCCTTGTACGTGATCCCGACGTGCCACGGGAATTCCCCCTTACCGGCTTCTTCCCCGTTCACGATCTTGGCAGACTTTCCCGGCTCTCCCAGTCCGCATGCTGGCCGAGATGAGACGAAGGCGGAAGATAGACAGTCACTATTGAATTTTGCAAATTAAACCGAAATTTCAAAACTCGAACGACATCTTAGGATTGCAACTCGTAATTCTGCCTTCGATGATGAAAGAAACCCGAACACGAAAAAATAAAAGTTTCTTTCCGGCCCGGTCTTTCGCCGCCGGCCGAATCGACGCGGAAACTTCGAATGCATTTTAGCAGTAAAAAGCGAAAAGGAACTGACTGCATTGGCAGGTTTGGGCGCGTTCCATGCGATTCCGGAGCTGCGTCACCTGGGAAAAGGAAAACAATGAAACGTGTCGAGATAAACGAGGGGGAAAAAAATGGGCGGATGGAATCGCGCCTCTTTGGATCTGCTCGAGGGAATCGGATCGGAGCGCTTTTTTGTCGTCTGCTTCGTGAAATCCTTCGGGAATTGAAGAGCAAAAAAAAAAAGCTAGCGTGGCGGTTTACAATGTGGAACCAGAAAAGCAGATCGAGGTCAGTTTTGTAACATGCTACACGAAAATAGATCCTTTAGTACAATTTGAAAAAGAAACAAAGGATCGCTAAAAATGCGATCGGAAATCGTCAGGCGAGACGGTAGCGATGTCTTCGGACGTTTTTGCAAAAAGTCGAGGCTGCAGTTGGTCATTATACGAATTATAATTATAATTATTATATATTTCATTATATTTTTTCATTATATCATATTTTATTATAGAGAAGCAGGACGACATTGCGCCGTTCCGTTCACTCGGCGCGGAAAGCGATGAAAAGCGAATTCGCGCGAATTTTAGCCTTCCGCGGTTAAAAACCAAAATCCGAGCAGGTTTCTCCGACGCCTTCCCTCGAGCGCACGAGTCATTTAAGGTGGAGAAATAAACAAATAATTGCAGACGCACTTGTTGGTCTTGGGATTTGGGCGTGTCCGTGCTGGATTCCTCTCCCGTGCTCTCGTCGGTTGCCCAAGGGAAGAACATGCTCAGGAAAGGCTGCACGAATTCATCACAGACAATAATCAACGGGTGGATTAGGGACTTCCTAATTACATTTCGCCAAAATTAAAATCGCTCTCAAATGAAGCAATGAGTGCGGAAAACAATCGTAATTAGATCTCAAAACTTGAATGGGCAAGGGGGGCCATGGGGGGGGGCAGTTTCCTACGAGATTTCTATCTTGCGAGTAATTACGAAGATGAAATCCGTGCGCTCTCGAGTCTTAAAGTCGGAGTTTCTTCGGGAATGTGTTAACGGTAGGAAAATATCCCTCCGGTTCGGAGGGATGACCTCGCAAGACCCGAACGCACGTTCGGTTCGGCATCGAAAATTCGCAGGTTCGCGAGAAGAGTCCGACGGTTCGTGCATCTGCGGTTGGGGATTTCAAAGAATCGGGGGTGGACTTTGCAGGTCGCAGGTCGACGGGTCGACGAGACGATCGTCGTTTGCGGGTGTCGACAGATGATAGTTTTCTGTCGACTGGCGACAGCGGGAAAAAAGATGCTGCAAAAATGTTCGGGGGGGGGGGGGGGGAGGGGGGTGAAAGGGGGGGGGAAGGGGGGTCGGGGTCTGATCCTCGACGCGGGTGTTGCGGGATGCGGTCGACTGCATCAAGAGTTCCATCAAATGTCGGCCAAAAAGGCGGAAATTACGACCCTCCCATTCGAATGCGATTGAACTTTCGAAAGAGGATTCCCCATCCCCAAAACGTGACATTTCGGACTCGTCGGACCGGTAGGGCAAATACCGCAGGATGGTCCACGTTTCGTGACGTCGACTAACCTCGGTGACTCGAGAATCACTCATAGAACCCTGATGAAACCTGGGGATGCGACGGATCGTCGTGGAACGTAGGAATCGATCCGGCGGACGTCGACGACGAGGGCCGCTGGCTCGACGGATGAAGGGGCGAGAGGGAAGAATCATGCGTAAGTTTCTTTTTTCGTCGCCGAAGATCGACCTCGACCCTCAACCCTTGGAAGCAGGCGTTTCAGAGGGAGAAAAAACGCGGTCGCTAATTACGGGCTCCGAGAAACGCAGGATGCGACCATCGGACGGGAAAATAGTTGGAGTTTCGTCGGTTTCGACCTACGTGGAGTCGCCGAAGCAGTTCGCTTCCGCGGTGGAATGAGGAAAGAATGCGCGTGTCGTCTAAGACACGTTCGCGGCGAACTTTCGCCACTCGGAGACGGACTCCGCTTCGCCTCGCGGCGTGAATGAATAGAAGACTCCGTCGCCTTCGAAACCGTTCTCGCGAAACGAGGAAAATTCGGGTCGGAACGGAACGAGACGTCTCGCAAAACTCGCAGACCACCGAGGGACGAGAAAAGTTCGACCCGCCCGGCTCGAGCAGGCGAAGGAACGAGTCCTGCGAGAGAATTTTAGCGCGCTCGAGGCGTCGAGAAATGAGAACATTTTTGTGACATTTCCGTGGACTCGGGGGAAGAAGCCGATCTGCGGCCGCAAGCGAAATCCAGTCGCTTCTCGCGACGGTCCATGCGGCTCTGTCCGTTTTCCCATCTCGTGTTTCGTAGTTTCACAGGATGAAATCTCGGAATTCCGTCATCCGAATTTGCGCATCGTGGCAAAAAGCAGTGAATTCCTGGAAACCCCGACGCCCCGCGCCGACACCGAAAAAACCCACATCAATTTTTTGAAGCATCTCGTCCCTTCACTTCGATGTTAAAAGATGCTCACTAAAATGTGAAAAAAAAATTAAACGCAGGAAAACAGTCTATGCGTCTGTGAAGACTTTTCTCGGCCCGAACGACTCGAACCAGGAAGAGAAATAATCGGTAGGAAGCGAAAAATCCGCTTAGACGGATTTGCGTGACTCACCAGCGACGCGGCGAAACCCGGCGAAAGCGACGAGACGAGGAGGAGAGACACCCACAGGGCCCAAACGTCCATGTCAAATGCACCACTTTTTTCTCTTTTTCAGGCTCGACACATCTTGGAAAGAGAAAAACGTGGAGAGAACGAAGCGAGACCGGACGGTGTTCCGCTCGGTTACCGCGCGGTCGACTCGGCGGTTAGAAACACGCTCGCTCGGTTTCATCGCAGAAACGTTGTTCGGTCGCGCTTCATTTCCCTCCCGGTCCCGTTTTACGAGTACGATCGACCTCGGAGTTCAAGGTCGGACCGCAACGTTTTTTTATACGGATTTTATGGGTTTGTGGAGGGGGAAACGGGGACTCAACGGGGGGGACTCAACGGGGACTCACCGGGAGGCGTGCGGCGCGTTGGGATCCAAAGGAGAGAGTGAGACGATTTTTCCCTTTTCGGTGGAAACCGATGTCGACCCGGCCAAGGTCATCTCCTTTCCCTTTTCCCTGTTTGTCTATTTACGGGTTTTTCGGGGTCTATCCGGGGTCTATCCCCGGTCTATCTCCCTCCCAGATCGGCTCCGCTTGTTATGGTTCCCTGGGAACGGAGTCTCACCCGTCCCGTTCGATGACGAACGCTCTCCGCACGTGACCCGGGGTCCAAACGATTCGCTCCGTTTCGTGCCCGGATCGTGCCCCGATCGCGCTCCATTCCGACCGCTCCGACCTTCCGAGGAATGGCACGTCCTAATTAGTCCCTCCGTATCCATTCGGGCAGCACGTCCCGATCCGCGTGGACCATTCCGCTTGGAATTCGCTCGCTTCCGGCCGCTACGGGTCCCTGCGACGTGCGAGGACGAGACACTCCCTCCCGAACCGAGTCCGTTCGGGGATGACCCATGACTTTCGCGTGAGAATCCTCAAAGGGTCTCATCCGACCGGTGCGAATTCCTTCCCGGCCGAGTTCGTCTTTGGTGGTCCGAGCGGAATGGATCTCGCCTGGATCTGCGTCGAGGATGGACGAGAGGAATCCCGAACCCGTTCCCGAGTCTGCCCCCCTCTTCCCCCCCCCCCTCCTTACGTAATTCAGCGTAACGACGAATCCAAGCAGCTTCTTTGGACGGAATTCCACCATGCCCGGTCCTCGAACGCGAATGGACGGTGTGCGAGTTTTCCTCTCGAAAGGCAGTCATCCGGAAAGCATCTACAGTATTTCAAAACGTGGCTGGATTTCAAGCGAAAGGGAGGACGAATTTCCATTGCGCACCCTATTTTTCTTTCTTTCGGATTTTCTCACGGGAAAAAAAAAGAGACTTTCCGAGGAATCTCGGAAGATCCTCTCTCCGATAAGGATGCGTTCTGCAAGCAAGGTCGTGCCCTTGAAGGTCGTGCCCTTGAAGACGGTTCTGCGAATGAGGAACGAGAAATCGGCCGTCGCATGCGAGAACCGAGGACGAACGCCAGCTGTTCGCAATGTTAAGCGGTCATGAAGTAAAAGTAAAGCGTTATGGTAACTAATTACATTTTAAGGCAATTTCAGCGTTAACGACTTACTTCGCAGGCGCTGCTAACGGAACTCGTAACTAGTTCTTATTGCAAGGGAGTCATTAGCGTTTGGTGACGTCATTGTAACGCATTACTTCTGGGTCACGAATACGATTTGATGGGAAAACGACGGAATGGTACGTTCGTGTTTCACATCATTAAAATCACTTTCGGTAAGTTCTCACAATTACTTTTGACGGTAACTCGTTTTTCGCGCGTTCGCGTACGCGACGCGGGCAGTTCGCGTTCGTCGTCGGTCGACGAGACTTTCGCGTTCCCGATTCGGTCTCTACTTTTCTATTCGCGCGGAACGGCAAAACGCGGAGTTTTTTCGGGGATTCCGCCGAGTTCGGCGTTCTTTCGCTTCCGGTTTCGTCGTTTTCCCGAAATCCATCGGTTGAAGCGGAAGTCGCGACCGATGCGTTTCAATTTCATTAAGTTTTTTTTCGGAAATGACTAAAGAGCGCTTGAAACCTCTTTGAGCAATTTTTTTTTCTGATATTAAAAGCAGGTAAAGTTCATCTGAATGGAAGACGAACTCTCTCAGAGCAAAAAAAAAGGAACTTATAAAGCAAATGCGGCTGAATTAAAGTAGAATTGGCAGGTGCTGCAACATTCCATTCGCCTTAGCATTCCGACATTCCCGCACTTTCACAAATCAGCCGTTTTTAATTCACTCTCCGCAGAATATTGCTAATAATTTTGCCGTGAATTATCTGGATTTCGTGAGCATTTCGAAATAGAACAGGAAGAGGAGAAGCTGCATTCCAAATCGGGTGGGATTTTTGTGGAACGAGTGCCGATGAGTTCGCTCGGCCGCCGCTTCGCAGTCCGAGATGAAAAGTGGGAGAAGGCGAATCTGGGAAACGAGGCGGGGAATGGCGTTTGTCGCTGCGTCATTTGCTAAGGGAGGATTGCCGCGGGCATCGGTGTGGAACGCCGAGACCGAGCGCTTCGTTCGGGGATTATGTCGCGATTTGGGTGAGGAGTGACTTGCACTCGAGTGACTCGCCGAGTGCAAGTCCGCGGTGCGATGACCCTGGGTCGAACGGGCCGATTTTTTTTCCGTCTGCATTATTTTCTGTCGGCAAACGTTTTTCTTTTTTTGTGCGGGCGTTCCGACGCGTCCGTGCGTGGGTGTTTGGGTTTTATCGTTACCGCGATCTCACTTTCGTACCGGTCCGATCGGAAAAAGAAGCACGAGGTGGAACGACGGTAATAAATAATGCAATAAAATGGATCGCACGATGAAAGGACCGACGATACGATCACGCGCCGAAATTCGCATCGACTCCGAGTTCCCGTTACCGGCATTACGAAACGCTTCCACGGGGATCGCGATCCATTCCGAGACGGACGTGAAGGCAGAAGACGAACGTCGCCGAGAAACGGGGAGAGCCGAGGAGACCCGACCGGACGCGGAGGGTCTCGGCATCCAAATGGTTGGGTGGGGAGGGCGAGAGGTTCGCGTCGCGCTCTCTGACGTCATTCCGATGACCACGATGACGTCGAGGAGGTTGGGAACCGACGAGAAAGTTCCTTGTCGTCGATGGCGGATGGACACCGATCGTTCGTTTTCGTCGCTCGTCGGAGCTCGACGACTCCTCGCTCTCGCGTTGGGAGGGGTGAAGGAAGGATCGGCTGGATTTCATCACGGATGAGAATGCTTGACCGAGTGTGGACAGAATCGAGAGAGAAGGGGAGGAGGGAAGGAGGGAAGGAGGGGAGGGGGGGGGGGGTAGGAGAGGAGGGATCCGGAGCCTCGCTCCATCGATTCCATTCGGTCCCGTCGTCGAGGCTGAGTTTTCTCCGTCGGCATCGCGAGCGTGGACGCTTTGGGGTTTAGGGTGCATGCATCTCGATCGCGTCGATGCTCTTCTGCGATCTCGACGCGATCGGGGATTCTCGGCGGTCTTCTTCGTCGTTTCACGTCATCATCGGCAGTCCAACCGGATTTTCCGTCTCTTCCGCGAAAAGTTAGACCAAGGTTCAAGGATGAGCCAAGGTCCAAAAGTTAGATTCAAGGATGAGCCTCTTTCGTACGTTTATTTCTACCCGTTTTACCCCACCGGCGATCTTACGAAAGCGAGTGGAACGTTGTGGTGCGCGGGAGAACAGCTCGCCGCTTTTGCAGCTTTCCGCATTCGAGAATCCGCAGAATAGATCTCTCTGTCTTACCCCTTTCTCGGATGAACTGGTTCCTGGCAGCTGTTAAATCAGTTAGTGTTGCATTCCTTCTTTCCTCTGGAAGGACTTTCCTGCACGATTCTTCGCCCCACCCTTTCTCGATATTGCTTCAATAAGTCATCTTCCTTGGAGAGGGGAGGAAGACTCTCCCCCCCCCCCTTAAACCAGATCTAAGGTTCCTAAGTAACCGCCAACCTCTGGAGACTGAACTCGGCCGTCGTGGTTACTCCGGGGAGACTCAATTCTGGTTCGTCATCACCACTGGGGTTCAAGGATATAAAGGCCTCGAATCCATGCTAACTTCACTCGGGTCCCCCACGACGGAAACCGAGCTCGATTCCAACCACGCCGATTCACGCCTCTAGCGTGCACCTATCACGCCGCTTCACGCCGCCCGCCTCGGGAGCGGTCATCGCTTCCCTCGGATAATTGCCCTTGCGTTTCGTGGAATTCGGCGCGTTCGATGATGGGCTAACTAGTGTGATCGAGGAACGGTCTCGAAAATGCATCGGTCGACGGGTCACCCGTTAGGTCGATCGATGCTTCGACCGAGACGATAATTAGAGAAAATACGGCGAACGGTTGCAGATCCCTTTTCGAAACGCGTGCGAACGACGCTCGTCGATCACTTTCCCTTCCACGAAGGGAAAAATGCAATGCGTTAGTTTTTTGTTTTTTTTGTTAGCATGGTGAAATGGATAAAGAGTTATGGACAAAAATTTTACTTTGAAGGACGGAGAGAAAGAAAAAGGAAATTAACTATTTTTTGTTGTTGTTTCCTGCTGGCTCAGAGATGCCACAGAATTAAAAAGAGTTTATTATGCCTCTCCCAGTATTATATCTCTTTCTTACGAAAAGATTCGAGCGAATTCGGATTCTACGCGGATGGTTCAGGTAAGGGAACGTAGAAAGATGCGAATATGATCGTCCCCCAACAAATCTCTGTTTACATTTTTAGAGGAGTCAGAAGAGCCAGAGCCTAACGACTGCTTCAAGGTGGGAGAAACGGAAAGAAAAATCCCACAGCTCAAATGCTTCTAATCCACCTCATGTGTAAAACAATATTATTAAAAAAAAGCAAAAACCTTGCTCCCTGGCTTCGTGGGCTTTTTTCCTTTTCGTGCTCGGGCGGCCATGTCGCGATGACGGTAAATCGCGTGGCCGTTGGAAAGTCCTTTTCACTTTCTTCAACGAAAACGCGAGTCTATCAGGTCGATCGAGGGAAATGTTCAACTAAAACGGCCGGCTTCTTCTCAACCGCTCGGTTTTATTCCGAAAATATTTTATCCGTTTCTTCCTCGGACTCGGGGAACGAGCATGCGGTGCTCATTGTATACGCATGGACGTTTGCCGATCGACGAGCGTGAACTCGTGGAGTGGGTCCGCGGAAGTAGAGACCGAGAAACTGTTATCTGTCCCGTCTGGCAGACGAATATGCAGGAGAGCCGAACTAAGTCATAAATGAGATACGAGTATTGCCTGCTCTTCCGGCAAAAATCCCCCATGCACACCCATGCATTATGGTAAAGGGGCGGCTTTCAGGACATATTGTGTCACATGGATGCGCGAAATAATGATCGTTTTTCGAAGAAATTGCGGGATTTGGAAGAAAATTATTTTGTGTTTAGCATTCTACATACGTGCGCAGTGAAATAACTGATGGATTTCCATAATCCATTTATACCTCAATTTTATTGTTGAGAACTGGGATGTGCAGCGTCCACAACGAAATGGAAAGCTAGGGATTATTTTGGTTCATTATTTCAGATATTCGACGAAAAAATACATAAAAATGGCCTGTACAAAAACTGCGAAATTCAATAGAAACCGAATACGCTTTTCACAGAAACCTCCTCCGCATCGATCAGCCTCGCTTTTCGAAATAAAATAAATGAAATCCTCGACACGAACGTCAGGTCTGGAGCTCCACGATGCCCCAGATGAGGTCGACCTGGTCCTGGACTCGGGTGAAGACGAGAGGGGCCTCGCCGATCCCAGCCGCGTTCGGAGCGGGGCACTCCGCCGTCATAGACACGACGCCGGCCAAGACGAGTCGTTCTTCCCCCACCGCCTCCCTCTTCTGAACGTGGAGGTCCGAAGGGGAGGTCTGGAGGAAGGGCTGGAGGTCTGGAGGGGAGGCCTGGAGGAAGGGCTGGAAGTCTGGAGGGGAGGTCTGGATGAAGGACTGTAGATCCTCCCCGCTCGTGCCTTGGGCGAGGTGGGGAGGGCGAGCCTCGCGCTTCCCTCCGTATCCGCCCGCTAGGGGGCGCTGTTTGCACACGATCGCCGCTCCCACATCTCCCTGCATATAAGAAAAGGAGTTTACCATAATTTCCAGGCACTATTCTTCACCTGTGCGATTCTTTCAATTCTTGGAACTTTTGAATGGACTTTCGGTCGGTTGGTCGGATTGTTAGTTCCAGCGAGAGGAACACGAATGACGTGATTCTCAGTCGAAGATCCCTCAGAACGATTAGGGGCGTAAGTGCGTAAAACTGCTAACTGTACCTTGTGTTCATCGGTGTATGGCATTTTTTAATTGCCTTGAAGACTGAGTGAGCTTACAACCTTCCAGAACAAAAGAGAAATATTGTGATTGAGAATCAGCGAGCATGACGGAACCATCCATGATTCCTTCCTCATCCTGTCTTGACTCCTGGAAGAGTCCGCATTTACTACACAGCGAATCAAAAAGGACAAAGAGAGCTTTCCAACGACATGGAGTTAGCTGTGATCACGAGTTTCGAGCAACGAAGGGGAAAAGAAACGGTTACATCCGCTCACGAAGCTGGGGAGAGTGCCAAGCATTTGATATACTTTATAATAAAAAAATACGCATCAAGCTATCACGGATTCGCTTAGAGTGTGCTTCAAATTAATACATTAATTTAAGTAGAGGACCAGTGGAGGTACAGATCTGCCATTCCATTGGCCACCGTACCTCTGGAATTATCTCCTTTTGGCGCATCCTAACCATCCAACTGTGTAAATAAAATGTGTCAGTTACCCGGTCAAAGTATACTTTTCAATTATGATCGAAATATAATAATAACTCGATCTGGGTCAAAGTATCGAATCGAAATATCAGATAACTCGATCATCATAACTTCGATGATAACTGGCGTCACGCTGTCATAGGCAGGGGGGCCTATGACAGTCAAAGATGGTTCCTTACTAACTTTCAATTATCCCATGTGTCTTTCACGTGGGCAGTTGCTCCATTGTATATTTCTAACTTTACCACCTCGACTGTTTGGAGACAAAGTGCAGCAGTTACCGACGGAGACCTGTCTTTCTTGTGAAAAAGGTTTGGAAGATGGAAGAGAGTTGTGATGGTCCTAGGCCTTGTGTAATGCGTTTTTACTCGATCGATGAAACAACAGCTCTTATTAGAATATGGGGTGACAAGCGTGCCCAAGCATTGTTCGAAACTGGAAAAGTGAGGAACAAAGCCATTTGGATATCCGATCTTAGATTTTGATGGCCTGGAAAAGGGCCAGAGATGACTGGATTTGTCGGTGGTAAAGTTATAAGTCGTTCTCAATTACGATTTCGGTCTAAGTTTGAAAATTCTATCGGTAATAGGGATCCTGGAGGGCTATCGAGTTATGATGGTCGAGCTATCTGTTATTTGGGTCTAAGTATGGTTTTCTATCATGATCGAAAAGTATACTTAGACCGGGTAGTTCGTGCGTCGTAGGCCTACGTGAACAGTCCCGGACAACCCAAGAACGTCCCTCGATGGTTTGCGCTTCCCCGTCGCGTGAAGATGAAAGAACATCAAGTACAGGATGCCAGATGCGGCATTTCACTTGCACGCCCAGCAACCCTGTCTACGCTGTCACGAGCAGCCGCTCTCTCTCTCTGTCTACTGCGGACCCATCATCCGTGTGGGCGGGAGGGGAACTGAAAAATTTACTGACATCCTAACCTAGACTGAAGGCTACACATGCGCACTAAGTCGAGTTGTCCGGTTGCTTTGGAAACTGTGGAAAGACGGAATGAAGAAGCGAAAAAAATTGACAGACCGATCGCAAATATTTGTTATTTCCTATAGTACCTACACAGCAAATAAGGGTGAGTGTAGGGTGTACGATGATTGAAAATCGGTGTGCATACACTTGGAGGCGCACTTTCACATGCGGGTGTTCATCCCCTCCCTAGGAGGCTCGCATAGCACTCTTACAGGCTGTGCAGGCTCTCCTTTCAAGTGGGTGTGTATGTGAGCTTGGGCTCAACTACAAAAACAAGGTCGGATTAAGGTTGCAGGAGCCCCGAGGCAGAACATGCACCACCCCTTGGCCTAATCTTGTGGGGGGGGGGGGGGTAACTGGGTTTTCTCTTTATCTCGTTTTGCATCATATCCAGAGGCTTGGTTTAACCGACGTTTCCCTAGGCCGGTGCCTTATCATTAGGCGTTCATTAGGCGAAGCAGCTGATTATTCATGTAAAAGTGAGGCTACCATTACCGATGCAAGATAGCACTTCAGTCGCCAATCCAATGGGTCGCCTGTAAAGAAACTAAGCCACGCCTCTGGGATTTCTTACATACAGTATCTGATTTTTTTTTATTCTTATAGCAAAGCGGAATACATTGGAATCTCACGATATTATCTGAAGATGAAAGTCAGCCCAGGGAGGCGTCTGGCAATACTGGCACTAAGGAAGGAAAAAGAGGGATGCAGGCCTCAAGATTAGCCCACGACTCAACAAGAATTAGCCCGGAAGTGAGCTCGCAAGGACGCGACTTGAAATCTCTTCTAATAGCGTCTATCTAATTATTGTAGGAAATGTTTATGTATTGAAAGACGTGTCCCCAAAGTCAATTCGATGTTAAGTTCACTACACCATAGAGTAGAGAGTATAACTAGAGGCGACATTCCGCTCGAATCCCATAAATTGACAGGGTCACTATATGGGTCTGTCGCTGTCGATCCTCCACCTAGCGGGCGCACATCAACAACTCCTCTATGTCCGAGCAGCGGACTCAACGAGACACGCGTGTTACGTAGTGGGATCCCTTTGGGTCGAATCCCCGAATGAGTCGATTCCTGATTCCGTTGCCACGAAGGAAGTGTTGTTGATAACAAGCCACCAGATGTCTCTGTAATATTTCGACCCTCCCGTACCCCTCGGAGTGTCGCCTCTAGTTACATTCTCTACTCTATTACTACATTTGTGTAGTGTCGTCAGAATCTGGCGAGATTCTAAGTCGTAGTATTCACACGTAGTAGCTGACGAGAAGCGTCGCACTGACAGACAGACAGAGCAATTCGGACCACAGCTTTGAGATCCTCAAATCATTTTCAAAGGGAAAGAGGAAAGATGAAAACTTGGAGCACTCACGATACAGGCATTGTCGTAATCCCGTCCAAAAGCGCACTCCTGAGAGTAGAGAAGTTGCTGCAGAGATCCGAGATGCTTCTGGCACCATTCCCTCTCGACGATCTTGACCCTGGCCTCCTGGAGGACCTGGCTGAAACTCTGCCTGGAGAACGTGTACGTCTTCTCGCGCTCATTCTCCTCCCCGAAGGAGGATACGAGGAAATTGGATGTGCCCGGGATGGACCCGAATTTCGCTCCGCCTCCACGTCCAAAGTCCCAGAATCCCTGACCCCCTTCTCCTCCTCCTCCTCCTCCTCCCCCTCCTCCTTTTCCTACTCGCCATCCGAAGCGTTTCCCTGTAAGGAAAAACGCATGCGGAGGACAATATGATGAAATGCTGTCGGGCGTAAACCTCGCAAGGAAGACTTCTTACGAGAAAATGTTAGAAAAACAATAAATTTTCACAAAAAGGCTTCATGAGGCATTCCTATAAATAAATAAAAAGTAGTGGCAGATCCCCAGGGACAAGGACAGACATTATTGTCATGGACCACTTTCAGAATTCGATTGAGCTGCCGAAACGCATGGCGTTTGTGCTGAGCTCTTCTTGAATCTTTTCTCGAGTTGCAAATTGTCCTCCTTCCGATACGTATTTATACGTACCGGAAAAGTCAAAAGGTGAGGTAGTCCTGGCCGGCTTCCCGAAGTCCCTCGAAACTGTAACCAGTTCGTTAACGGGCATCGTGTTCGCCTTGTTCCATCCAGCCACATAGCATTCTGATCCGATGAAGTTGTCGAATTTATCTGAAAAAGGAGTACGATATCAATATGCTTCTTCTTCATGTGACCTCTTCGAAAAAATCATTTTTATGCAAACATGTTATTCCGAAAGAAATTTCCCTTCCAGTTCCGCATCCCCAACTCTGGAGAAATTCAAAAGTATCTCGAACACACTATCGCAACATTTACTAATGCATGACCGGATTTTAGGAATAAATCAAATCGTCGACAGAAGGTTCGAGGGTTACCGGGAAGGCAGATGGGCCGAACGTGAGGGTATTTGTTGAAATCCACCGGCCACTCCAAGATCAATACGGCCAGGTCGAACGCCTTCGTGCCGGGGTTCCACTTGGGGTGAGCCCTCACGTCCCCGACGGGGGCCTCCAGGGTCGGGTGGTACTCGGCCGAGCTCTCGTCCTTCAGGTCCCAGTCCCCCAGGCGGACTCGCAGGAAACGCTTGTTTATCCCTGTTCCATGCGTTTCTTAGTACTGAGCCTTGGCTTGAAGGAATGTCCTTACGATTGGGAACGCACAATGTGAATGCAGAATGCTTAAATTTCTAATTTGTAAATACGCTGCAAATTGAAAGAATGATTTCAATAATGACAATTATAATTAAATAATTGAATGCTTGCAATTTTGAAAATTAAGAGCGGAATGCGACTCTGAGTACGAACTAAATGAATTGTGCACTGAGTGATACTTTCCCTCCGTCTGGTGCTGCAGTTTGCCAGTATATTAAACAGGAGCAGGTATGAATGAATGTCGTTAAGAGTGCAGAGACCACAGTCATAGAAAAAATACAAGAAGGGTCTGAATCGATGAGTGGGAGAGAGAGAGAGAAAGGGAGAGAAAGAGGGAGAGAGAGAGACCATTGACGCAGGTGGCAGCAGTGAGGACGGCCCACGCACTGATGAGAGTCCCCGAGCAGAGGAAGGTGTTCTCTGGTGCCTTCAGTATCGCCGCCATCCATGGTTCTGCCCTGTACAGACCACGTTCGCTCGTCAACAATCGCCACTTTTCAAGATGATGCTATGCGATTTTATGCTCTCAATCGATATCATTCGGTTCCTTCGGCGCTAGGTCAAGGCACGCCGAGTCTCTGCTGTCCTTTATCGTTAAAGAACCGCTAAAATCAGCTCAACATTTGCATCTTTGTCGATCCGGTCGATTATCTTCTAGATTTTGGGGGACAAGGACTTTCACTCCATCTTTCTTTCAACATCTTTAGTTGATCTTTACTGAGTGGAAAATAGTTGAAAGAATTGTTCAGTCGACTGACCTGTAGTCGGATTCAAAGTCGACAGGAGGTCGAAAGAAGTCGCCACGGAGTCCTTGCTTCCGCTGCTCGACGTAACCCCGGGTGACCCCCTGGATCCCCGGATCCCTGAACCCATCCAGGTGGGAACTCTCTCCACACTAAAGACACAGAATCGTCACGAGATCGCGTCGAAGACGTCGGACGGATTTGAAAGAAAGCCGGACGGACCCTGACGAGAGACTTGTCGAAGAACCCGAGCCCGGTCTGAGGGAACCCGGCCGCGAAGTCGCCCCCTCCGCCGAATCCTCCGCTTCCGCCGAATCCAAGCCCCCAGACTCTCAACTTCGTCCACGCCGCGAGAAGGACGTACAGGTTTCCCGGGACACTGGCGATCCGGCCCATATCCTGCGGTTGTTTCCTACCGAGGTCTGCACTTTCACTGTTGACTCTGTTGGGTGTGACTTAAATGTGAGCGCAGGTTGCGACGACGCAAAATAAAGCAAACACATTTTAACAAGAAAATACGTTGTAATGGTAAATGGCTCGAGATACTACAACTATGACGTATGACGTGAAAAATAGCAGAAGCTAACAATGGAAAATATAAAAATCAAGTTGATAAGTTTATCATTAGAAAAAAACAAGTGAAATCGACAATAAAAGAGAACTACTCTTGCTTTAAGAAAACGAGTAAGAATTCCTACGACTATTCGTGGACTTATTCGTTCTTGCATCTGAGAATAACTGAGGGGGAAAAGAAAAGTGAATCACTCGATGGTGGGAATCGAGAGAGCACAGAACTTGAAATACCGGTGTGGATATGCAGAGACCGGTGTGCACCCTGCACGGTGTGTCCGGTGAGTCTGGACAGGGTGTTATAAAGGGTTAAAGGCCGGACGCTGGCACTCCATTGCCACCTGTGTCGTTCTGGTCGACCAAAGGGGCGACGGAGTGACGAAATCCATTCCGCTTTCTTTGCGGGACTTTTCTCACTACCCCCGCACTTCCTCGATGGAGCTTTTGTTCGGCGATGGCGACATTTCCTTTTTTTCATTGCTCCGGCCATCTTCGCGTTGTTGCCGTGAGATTTGCCTCGTCATGGCGGCTGCTTCGCGGCACGATCGTCGGCTGATGATTCCTTCGAGTTCTAAAATGGATTTCTAAAATTCGGTCACAGCGTGGGCCACGTAGATTTACTAATATAGCTTTAAACAAAGACATGTCGGTTCATCGTTTGCATCTTTTTACTAGTCTATAATAAGGGCACATTGTGGATATGCGATAGGAAGTTCTGAGAGACATTTGTTTTTTCTAGAAAGGTATATTAAGAGAGAAAATATTTACATTCACAATGGACCGGAATTATGGCTTTACTGGCAGAGGTACCCGGCGTTGCACAGGTGCATATTTTATACGTCCCATATTTGAGGGTTTAATATTGTTTTAATGCCTCTTTGGAAAACCCGTCTAGAAATTTTATTGGTACAACATTTGAGGGTTGATTTTGTTTTTTTTTTTCTAAATTTATTTATTTATTTATTCTGCTCGGGCCAAGTTTGATCGCTTTTTGGATGGGATCTTAGAAGGCTGAAAAAAAAAATCAAAATATGTTGTATGCAGAGCAGCACAACTTAGATAGAGGCACAAAAATGTCACTTGCTATTCGGCACAAAATTTGAAAGTCAATACTGAAGGATATGAATTTCGAAACGCCGCCTAGCTTATGACCATCCCCGGACCAAATGAGGAAGCCATGCAAAGTTTTGTCGGACAGGGATAAGAGGCATGGCAGTGCATATAGGACAAACACTAAAAATATGGTATAGCTAACGGGGAAACGACTTGGAAAGCCTCCTGGAAAAAAATAAATTGTCCAAAACGTAGGGGTTTCAATCTATAATAAATTCGTAAAGCTTTTGTCGAGAGGAGCTCAATTACGCGACACTACCTGGCACTCTGAACCGATTGGCCGGGACTAGAACGAGATTCTTCGAGATGATCATCCTCCTAAATCTATATAATGTTGTTGGTTTCAGGGCAAAATACGGCCCCATTCAAACCAACTGGACTTGAGTTATTCGATTGATGTGAAGCCATTCCGAAGCGGCGTTCTTGCATCAGGCTGTCATATCAACTCTGGTGAATATGCTGAGACATTTCTTTTGAGAGAGGCAAAACACCCTCTGGCAAAAGGGTGAAAAGAAATCTCATGGGAGAAATGTGAGTAGCGGATTCAATGACCTTATTGCCACTCATTTCATTTCTTCATCTGAAATGTTAGACGCATGCCTTCCCTTTTTTTTGTGGGGGGGGGTTATAATGAAGTGAACTTGCAAATCCCTGAATATCCAAAGTTGATGCAATTTTCACCATATTTATCTGAGCTTTTGACAAGCATGAGACGTTCCGAGTTTTTCAGATGAACTTAGACTAAGAGACAAGGAGACAACCCATCGTTCGTCGCATTTACGGAGGCACTGAAGACACGTCATCGTAGGCGAGTGTGGGTTGCCTAGAAATTCCCAAAGTTCATCCTTCGATCTCGGAAAGAGCGTGAATTCCCGTTTTACAGCAAAAAGGTTCATGCGATCTCGTTCCTCGGGGTAACGGGTAGGCCTATTATAGAAGTTTTTCAGGTGAGGTGCCGGCTTCAGCGCGACACCGAGAATCTATCGAGTCGCTCCTGATTGGTGGATCGTTCCATCGCAATCACGTTCCAATAAGAACGGCTGGAAGACCTCCTACGCGTCTTAGACGCCTTCCTCACGCGTTTCAAGAAACTACTGGCGACGTCATTGATGACGTCACCTGTTTTACGTCCCCTGCCATCCTCTCGGGAACGGGGAACCAAAACTCTGTAATGCGAGGCAAAGACGTAGGAGCCCCGATTTTAAGGATTATTTTCGTTCGCTAAGAGGACTTCTTCCCTGGGGAGGAGGAGTCTACTTCGTCCTGTCGACTGGGGCTTTGCCTTCATAGTCTGCTCGGGGCCAGGTCATCTCACCTCCAAAGTTTCCACTCGTGAAGACAGATATCGGCATCGTACGGATCAGGAGAGTGAGACCTGTCTTCCTGCGTGCTATCGCACGTTCCAGATGGCGTTCAATGACCCAGTATTACACCTAGCGAGAGTTTCATCCAAGCTGGCCTATATTCACGAACAAGCCTACGCGTTGTATCGTGAAGCAGGAAGCATTCACGAGGAATACTTGGAAGCGTACCCCGTTCTCTTCACGTCTACGACATGAGCGATCGTGTCCGTGGACGTGAACATTTTCTTGCCGGCCTGACAGTCTCGTTACGTTTCGTTTTCTAAAATGCGTTCAAGGGCGTGTCGCATTCATAACCAACCTGGGATTGTGGGATCTAATTCATGGATGGGGGTTTCAGATTACCTTCCTTCAACGACAAGGATTTGAGATCGACATATCTATCAACGTCTAATTGGAGTTTTCTGTGAAATGCGGCAATACATTTGAAGCGGATCGACCAGACTTCCTAGATACGTGTATTTCAGAACTAAAGGGAATGAAAAATATATATGATCTCAATTCTCGAATGATGTAAGAGTTTTACAAGAATTTTTTGAGCGGACAGGAGCCGATGGCTGTCGGGCCTGCATTGCATTACGGATCAAGAGCTGTAACCACAGACATGGGGAAACCCGGGAGGCTCCAACGTATGCTAATTAATTAACTAAACGTACGGTGATTGGATGCATGCTAATTATGCGCGCATGCGCGGATGAGATGTTGCGGATGTTTCGATCGAGGGTTCCAGTTCTAATCGAACGTTGGAAAAATATTTTTTTAATGTTCTGAGTAATGCGGAACCAACTCCGTTGCCGTGACGACGTGCGGAAATGGCAATTACAGTGTGATGGCGGAAAGGATCTTCCCCATTTTCTCGCGTGGTCGCACCGGAAAAACCTCGCAATCGCTCTGTGGGAAAAAAATAAGTACGCGAAGGAGCATTTCTCATCACGGCCGATTCCAATTCGTCGACCGTTAGCGGTTATTTTCGGCGGAGGCGAAAACAGTCCCAGTTGATTCGGTCCACCACGAGTTCAGCACAAGCCAAAATGGAACCTCGCGAACAAATGGCTCCATTCGGCTTTTCTGAAGGTTGGCTCACGGAACGTGATCAGTCTTCATGTGATCACAGATGACCAACCGTTGCCATGTTTCTCCGCACCGTTTTACCGGTTGAGCATGCTGGTAGTTTTTTTTTTTTTTAAGGCTACTTTAGAGGCGTGAGGACTGTGAACGATGTTGCTTAGACAGCCCCGATCGAAAGACCGCAGTCCCGTAGGGAAAGCCAAAATCTCATTTCTTCAATTAAAGTGCTATTCTTCTTATTGTCAGATTTTCCGTTCGTTGTTGGAATCGGTCGTTCGAGTAATGGATTTTTCCCCGAGAACTCTAGAGATGCTTTCCACCTCCTTCGGGGATTCCTTCGTCACTCGAAAAGGTTCTTTCCTTTTTTAAATTATTATTCAAAAATGAATCGGAGTTCCTCTGGACTGAGTCTTTGGAATGGCGTTGGTAAATCTTGAACGGCCTTGGCATTCGAAAAACGAATAAGCACCATCTTTAATGATTGCAGCCTCACACCTGGCCTGGCGTGCCTCGCTACATCGCAGTTCTTTCCAAGACTGAGGAAAAGGGGAGGGGAAAGGGGAGGGGAAAGGGGAGGGAGGGAGGAGAGGGGGGAAGGGGGGAGGGGAGAGAGGAAGCTTCATATTTTCTCCCGTGCTCAGCGGACAATTAATGTCAAAAGACTATCATTTCGGGAGTGGAACCTCTGGTTCCCGTTACATTGGAAGGTAGTGAATGTGGGAATTTTGGAGAACCAGAGTCCTCTGCGATTCTAGTCACAAACTGAAGGTCTCGGGTTCCTCCCTGGAGATGTCTTTGTACAAATTTTCGAGGCCTCGTCGGGGAGCCTCTTAAGGTACATATAAAATATAAAAATTGACCCCCCTGGATCAAAATTCCGCTCTATAATTATTGTTAGGGACCTCGAAGGAGGGCCCAAGAGCCACTTTT